ATGAACTTTCACAATAAAACTATTTTGATATTTTAACCTGCTAGAAATTATTTATTTTGTTAATGATCAAACACAATTAACCTTGGGCTATTATGAAAATGTTTCACACATTTCTTTTGTGCAATATTACCGCTAATTAACCAGATCATCGTTAATGTAAAATTGTTGTTGTGATTATTCTTAGCGTTATTACAGGCTAGCCGTATTTGCAAACACTATAGTTTGGAATGAAACTTTGAATTTTCATGTTACGTTCACTCTAATTTTAGATCTACGACTTTTACTGTGAATTTCTTCCATGCGGGGCCACTGGGACTCTCAGTGAGCTGTGTGTAACTGTGTCAAAGTGTCAAGCATGAGTGTGCACAATATGTGGGAGAATGAGGGCCTGTATTTTTTTTTTTTTTAACCCCAATGTTATATAATTTTCATTTACAACATGAAGTCAGATTTTACTACTTGTAAATTGTCTTCCAATATTGATACTGACAGAAATGCAACAATAATGTGAGTGACTGAGACAACTGACCAACGTCCTCGTTATCATGAGTTTTCTATGGGCCTCTGTTAGTCTTCTTTCCATTCTAATCAGTGTTAACAGTAGTACTTGTAGCTATAGTCGTGTTGAAGATGTTTGTTCTTGGGCATTAACAGAAACCTCTGACTGGAGGAAGCAGAAAAAAGAGACATAGAATAATACATTTGTACAGATTCAGGTAAAGGTTACTGCCTGGGCAGAAAAACAAAAAAACCTAATCATTTTTTTCTATGAAGAGTCCCAAAGTGAGACATGCAACTCATCATTTTCAGCGGCAAAAAAAGACAATATGTATATGTGGGGTGAGAGGGTTTAAAAAAAAAAAAACACTAGAGAAAAGACTTTTGAAAAGATACATTGTAATTTATGCATACATATATTTGTAAAGTCTATAGATGCGTTTTTCGGGACCACTGTTTTAACTGGGTATGCATTTTGGGCTGTTTTGTTGCCGGTGCCCTCCCTGGACTCGTTGGGTGGTTTCATCCCCCGACCGCCGTACCCGCTCCCCCTGCCCGCCCACATTCGGTCACCTGATCAGTGTTCCTCAACTTCACCGCAACTTCGAACAACAGCAGATTCACCACATAGAGGACCCCCCCCCCCGACCCCCAAACCTCGACATGATTCTTTTCACTGTGCTTTCCCTGAGCGCCGGCTCCTGACCTGATCTGTTTATGTCAAGAATGTAAACACATGTAAACACCCTCCTTCCCCCCACCTCCCCCGCCTCCCCTAACTGCCCCAACTGACTGCAGATCCAGGTTGAAACCGTGGACACGCCGCTACATGATATAATGAAGAAACAAAACAAACCAGACGCTTCCAGATTCTATACATTTTGATTTCTTTGATTTCATTTCAGAAAAAGAATAATGTGATAAAACCTGCACACAGATAGCATTTATGTGGGCAATATGAATAGTATGTAGTTGAGAATAGATATATCTAGACAAATGATTATGGTTTATCTAAATGTGTGATAAACCTAAACACTGTATTGCACGAAGTTTATAAAAAACAAAATAATAACAGACATATTCACAGACTGCTGTCTTTTGTTTCTTATCTGCTAAGAAAGAGGAACGGGGTCTCTTCTGAAGTAGATTGAGTATTTATCTTTGTTTTGAGTTTCTTTCAAGAGCATCCGTTCATAGTCTTAAAATATTCATATCTGTTACTAAAAGCGGTTTATTGACATTTACATCATTTCCATGTATGCAATGACAACGTGAAAACAATGTGGCAGTAAAAGGAGTCACTTTCAGTTATACATTTCCACAGAATCGCCCTCTTAACACAAATCTCCGCTCGGACCTTTGGAGATTCATAGTGAGTTTCTGCTGATTCAGCCGTCTAGTCGTAAACGTTACTCTCATCCGTCTCCCAGCGTTTTTTGGTTACAGCTGTTTCACTGAAAAAGCTCTAATAATCTACTTTACACCAGCTGCTCAGCACCACCAGCAAAACAAACTCAGTCAGTCGGTTGCTGGTGAACACAGTGGAGAACTCACTCATCCAGAGAGCCAGATATTTCACTCAGGAGTTGGTGAAGACCAAAAAACAGAGCTAAAGGAAGGATGGATATGGGACTTACATCCATCAGGTGCACAGGCGCTGTGCGGTGGCAGCGTGGCTCGGCCATCGCCCTCAGCAGAGTTACTCTGAAGTCAAAGTAGCAATAGCACACTTTTAAAATAATTCACTGACCTGCATTTAAAATACTTTAAATCACCCCTCCATTAAAAAAAACGTTTTTTGCCTACTGTTATTTAAATGGAATGTTTGAACTTTACTGTACATAATGATGTATGTGTGCTGTTTGACATTAGCAGATTTTTTTTTCACATTCATCTGCTGAAATGTATCTGTGCTCCACTTAAATCTAAGATTAAGACTTGTGCGTACAAGCAGGATTTTGTGACATCTCTTAGCCAATCGTGGCTCAAAATGCAACTTGATCAAGTGGGATGTGGACACTTGAAAGCTGCAGTGCTGCGTACACTGAGGATTTCACTAAACAGTGCAGTAGCAGACTCTGTGTCTATAATATTTGAAATAAACAATATTTCAAACGAGAGGGAAAAAGTAGATGCAATCTGAATTCTTACTTACAGAAGTATCAGCAACTGAAAAAACTAATGTATCAAATTATTATTATTATTAATGCATTAATTAATCGTTTTAATGCTATAAAGCCATCACCTGCCACACGCATCATATATTAAAAATTGATCATGTGCTTTGTTTGTGCAAAATCTTAAACTGAAAAGTACTTTGGTTACTTCCCACCAATGGCTATAACACACAAACACGCACGTACACACATTATTCTGCATTAGTAAGCAAACATTGCTCTGAGTAGTTACTCTAGCTCAAGGTCTTCCAGCTAATCTTTGATGTGCTGTGAACCTAAAAAGACTTCGACCTTCGCTGTCGGACATGAGACTCATAATATTTGCAAATATATGGGTAGCGCCAGATGGGGGGTATTTATCCAATAGGATAATGAGAAAGTAAATTGACTGGACTTCTCTAAGTCCACCACACTACCTGAACATTCTGACCATCTGTGACCTCATGCATGCTATGAATGAACTATTATACACTGTAAAAAAAAAAACGTAAAAAGTAGGTAAAATGACTGGCAGCAGCGGCTGCCAAAAACTGTAAAATTAAGGTAAAATAACTTAATTCAAATCAAGTGCGAAAACCATACATTTACAGGAATTTTCTTTAACAATTTTACAGAGAAACGCATTTATTGTATAGATTTTGTCTGTATTATTATTTTCCTACAGTGTAGAGTGCTGTTAAGGCCTTTCTACTCCCATTGGGCAGATTTAGTTTCTGACCGCGGAGGGTTTATCATTGTTGGAAGAGAAAGTGTCAATCTTCACAGACAAGAGAAGATACTTTTTAAGGGTCTGAGAATCCCAGTCTGAGGACGAGTCATCTGGAGTGTTTTCTCATGCCATTATCATACCTGTAATCGAGTTTCAGTCACTTTGAAGCAGCTGAGGGGAACATGAGAGGATGCCAACATCTTCTGCTACCGGCCTTTTAAGATGCCCTACATTAATATTTTTTCATTTAGATTTGAAAAGGTGCAGCCGCCGTCGTGTGTGTACAACGTGTCACCCAGTCTCAGTAGAACTATAACAGCTATATATACGCAACCGGATAGTGTGTCATAAGGATTCGGTTTCTGCCCGCTGAGAGTTAAAAGCATTTGTGGGCCGGTGCCACTCACTCCCCGGCGGGCCCGGTGCTGGAGTAGTTATTGGGACAACTCTGGTCCCATCGTCCACTGGTCCTTTTGTGTGTCCGTGTGTATGTGTGTGGGTGGGTGGGTGGGGAGGGGGGCAGGGGGGGTGGTTGGAGGTAGGGTGGAGGAGTAGTGACAGTAGAGACAACAGGGAAAGTGACGCACTGAGTTCAGGGGTGGAGGAGGAGGGGATACAGAGCCACCAGGATAGGATGAAGGGGGAGCGGGGGTTAGCGGGGGGCTGGTTACATAGTTGAAATTCAAGGATAAGGTTTCCCGAACCTCCGCAGTGAAATGCATCACGATGAGGTCCGGCCTAAATATAGACGGGCGGGTTTGGGAGAGGTGGATCGTTGGCAGAGAGGTGAGGAGTCACACTATGAAGAGGTGAAATTGGCTAAAGTCAAGTTTGAGGGCAGGAAGGCGCCATCTCAGCAACAAAAAGGAGGCAATCGTTTCATTTAAAACCCCTTTAATGATGAGCAAAACTGGTGCCACATACTGTATATTCATATGAGGAGAAATGTGCATATATGTTGTGGAATTGCATTTCCTGGTAGAGAGACAAGGTGAGCAACCTATGACAAAGCTAAAGCGTGTGTACTACATACATGTTGCACACGTCATTGCACACAGCTAAAATGACCACGCACACAATATAAACACAGTCATCCGGTTTATGTACAAAGTTGAGCTTATAAAGTGAGGACATACAATTTTCTGATGTATAAAATGTTATTTTAATCAGTTCTCACTGTTAACTTGATTCAACATTCATTCATACTGAAGTAGCGGTCACCCAATAGTTGCAAAACGCATGTAAGTAATAGATAATGACATATAGCCTCTTGTTATCAAACATTAATGGTTAAAAAGTAGTACTGTTTTCCAGTATTGAGGATACTCATTGCTGTTGGTATACATGTGAAAAGAAACCTCTGAGAGCAATCCGTGGATGATTAGCGGTAACGCGTACGGTGCGATGCTGATGGTTGCGTTCTGATGCCGTTTAAGGAATTTTACATTATGGACGCCTGAAAAAAATTATGCAAAGTTAAGAATGTAACATATGAAAATGTCGGCCTTAACCACGGGATGAAGACTGAACTCTCCATAACTGCATCTAACTTGGAGGACCTGCTGACTCGCAGAAATAGGCTTCTGTATGAAATACTGCAGATGTTTAGACATGGATGGGTGTTTGAGCGTTTATACATTTTTATTTATTCAACTAATTCTAGCAGAAGGACGTACAGGTGCAGACTAACAAGCCCATTTGTGACACTTGTATAGTAAACACAACTCAATAGTCACCAGTTGCTCTGTTGCTTCCTCCATCTATTTTCCGAAAAACAAATAAACACTAAAACAATTTTAGTACATTTTCTCACTTAAATATTGCTGACTTCTCCTCATACCTTTTATTAAGACTTATGTATGACTTCTCTGTCAAGGTAAATACTCAGAGTACAAGTAAAGTCACGGCCTCCAGAAACGCATTTGTTTCCACTTGCTCTCAAATAAGAAATCAAGGATCCCGCGTCTATAACTGCTAGGTGGTGTTGTTCTTGTGAGGCCAACATTTTTGCCAGGGGCTGAAAGGAAGGGAGAGGATTATGAAGAGGAAACCTCCGAAAATGAGGATGGCTCCCGCTGAGCCCACGCAGGCCACGGACCATGACAGCTCGTGGTGCAGCGGTACAGAGTGGTCAGTGGACAGCAAGGACAGCACAGACTGGTGGAATATCAGGATCGAGAGAAGGACCAGAACACCTGCACACGAAGAGACGCCAAGGTCAAATCACATTCACGAACGGCAGTTAATGCCAAATACTCGTTCAGCCAAATATCAGGTCAGGAATATTACCCCACTTGAGTGTAAAAGGTATCGGAGGGAGTTCCCACCTGATAGGATGAAACAGAAGGAGGCCGGCTTGAGAAAGAAGAGGACTCCTTTGTTGAGGGACATGGCGATGCAGATGGAGCCCATCACCATCATGGTCAAACTCAGCAGGGCCAAGACGGCTGCTGCTAGATTCAGCTCTGAGGAGGAGAACCCAAAGGAGTTAAAAGACGAAAGAGATTAGAACACAACTATGATACTCGGGAAAGATGGCAGATCGCAAATCGAAATATTACAGCAACTGGCAAAGATGCGTCTTCTTTGGCTTATAGATCAGTCTTGCTCATGAAAATACCAACGTGGTGTGTCACGGTCCCATACTGATTCAGTCAGTGCCAGTTGTATGTGTTTTGACACTCTACCGCACAGATATTATTATTATTTGATTCATCAAAACACAGCAGATTCAATCTTTACGAAGGTTTTTTCTCAACGGGAAAGAAAAATATGCCAAAAAAACACATGATGAGTATGAAAGTAACACAAAAAGACAGTGCTTTATTTTTGTGTAGCTGCATTTTTCAGATTGACTTGATGTTTTTTATTTTTATCATGCATGGCAGCACTTGATTGATGCAAGGTTGTGCCCGTACCAATTTTTAATTAATCTTCAGACTTAAAACTTCAAGATCACTGAACACATTTTGTTAATGCCGCGTAGACTATTACTATGGGTCCCTCATTCCTGCCGCCAAACAGCAACCGCTGTCAGACAAACAGGCCTGAGGAATCCACCGACGTGCTGGCGGCTCTTTAAAACTTTATCTACACATACAGACACAAGCTCACATGCTCAAAAGGATAAAGGCTACATGGGTTGCCGCAGATGGGCAAGAAAAGGAGGATCTCCTCAACCACCGGCGCCATTGAAGAGGTGGTAATAAAAAGGTATTTCTCTCTCTCACTCTCTCTCTCTCTCTCTCTCTCTACCCAAAGATTCACCATGGAAAAGGTCCTCAGAGAGACACGGAGTGCCGTGAATAACGCACTAACCCAAACACGCACTAACCCGAACCCGGCGGACCCAGAGCCTGGAGCCTTACGAGATGCAATGACAGCATCTGGTTCAACCACGGAAGCCTATTGAGCCCAGTGTAGTGCCTACCAGACCGACTGGAGGCTTTCCTCAAGGTGAGAGAACAGCAGAGACCAAAGGAGGGGTATTTCTATCCGTACAGCAGTATGTCTTCTTTGTTTAATACAATGTTCTCACATCTTGACCGCATCAAAACGGTTGACTTTATGCTCAATGGGATGTAAGCATGCGCTGAAACCATTGTCTGACGGGACAGTGAGGTAAACTCATTAATCAGTCTGATAGCTCATCAGCAGAAGTTAATGGCCCTGAAACATGCTAAAAACCAACACGACGCCCCCCCCGACCCAGCAAATGTCTTCATTTATATTTGCTTCAACGCAACTGTTATACTGTGTGCATCTACATGTGCAAGGAAGTAAAATGCCTCACTCCTGTCAGTTGTCTTCTTGAATATGACTGCATTCTCCCCAGAGGTGAAGAACTTGAAGTAGGTGCAGTTGGTTTCTGTTGACAAAAAAACGAAAAGATCACCAGTGGACACACACACACACACACACACACTCCTATGAATAGCTTCTGGGCTTATGTGCCTCCTATGCATCCATGCACTCTGTCCTTGCAGACATCATTCCTATTTATTTCCAAGTGTCAAGCATTAGCTGCATTACCCAGAGGCCCACACACACACACACACACACACACACACACACACACACACGCACACGCTCACTGCTCAGCACTGCTCATATGGTGCAGCCATTAAGGCAGAAGGATAACAAAATGCATGGATGGCAGAGTTGAAACAGACAGGTAGACAAGCGACAGATGGATGGCAGGAATCGGGAGGCGTGCGCTGTACAATAAGGAGGAGGACTGAGGGGAAGGGGATACGTCGGATGAGAAAATGATGAATGGGATGGAGCAGATATGGATAGAAGCTCAGAGGATGAGATAGCGGGGGAAAGAGGGGAGTGATGGGGGGGCGCAGGGGGGCAGATGGACGGGGTGGTGAGTAAAGGGGGGAAAGAGAGGGGAGCCACAGATGGAGAAGGAGGTGAGCAGGAAATGTCAAGAGGGGGGGGAAACAGAGGAGTTGGTTAATACTGCATTACCCTCGCCCTCAGCCCCTGTGTGTCCCTCCTCTTCGTCCCCCCCCCCCCCCCCCCCCCCCCCCCCCTCTCTATATTTAGACAAAAACTGTGAAGTAGTCAGATTCCACTTGGCTTCACAAGCGCATAGTGATGACTTTCACCCACTGAATATGATGTGGTCCAAGATGACCACATGCTCGTGAACACGCACACGTTCACAGTCGCGCAGCTCTTTCACGCACAAATATGTTTGTGTCGGAGCACATTGGCAAATATTTGTAACTGAAGCCGACACACTATTTATTAGCTTACTGATTTTTAACACGTTATGTTATCACGCCGCTTTGCTCTGTCCCTGCCGAGGCTATAATTATCGAGCTGTCACGTCCCCCTCACGTAGACGGTGAAGATGGATAGCGGGGTCTTTAAATTGACAGCCACGGCATCAGCGGCGGGGGGGGGGGGGGGGGGCACTTTTCTCGGGACGGGAGCCAGAGGCCACATACGAACAGCGTTGGGGAAAAAGAGATGCAGGGATGACAAAAACAGTTGTTTCCCTCCAAACGCGACGAGCCGCCGGGGGGGGGGGGGGGGGGCATCTGCGCCGGGCGGCGTGGGCCAACAGTGTGAGAACGTGTGAGAAAGATTGTCAGAAGCATACTGGCTGTTCTCACGCACCAAAAGACCATCTGAGAGGCACTCGAGAGGGAGGACATGTGGACTGGTGAGATGAATTAGACATCTTAATAGAAAAAACTATGTTGTGACACATCATTCAAGGTGACGTGTGGGAATAGTATTCATGTATACAGTGTGTGCGATCCACATCTACTAGCGGGCGATGCGTTTTTAGGGTTTCTTGGGCGGCTCCGTCTCAAAAGAGCGTCTGAGAAAGGCAGTGATTTCTACAGCAGAACTTTCCGAGGCCCGACTCGCCCATCTCCCTTCCTCCGACGCCCGGCTCGTTCCCCACACTTTTCAGACCGCAGTAGGTAATTGTGTAGATAATCAACGCCCTCTGGAGAACCTCACCATGGTCAAATTGAGGAAAGTGCTTTTGGAAAGGAGCTGTCACATCTCTAAACATGGCTGTTTGTACTGTGTGTACAACAGGAGAGGATTAGGCACCCAGTCAAGTGAAAAACACTTCAATACACTGGCAGTGTTATACATTGCAAAGATTGAATTTTATAATGTTCCAATTACCTGCATGCCGCTTTGTATTGTTAGAATAGAACTGAAAAAAGGTTTACTGGGGTCCTGCTGGCGCCATGTTTCCACACATCGTATTTTTTTAAAGATCCAGTTTGCACATTATTTGTACAATGACCTAGATACATATGCATGCAGGCGGATTGACATACACAACTGTACTCTGCACGCCTTTACAGGGTTACGGAATATGTACATACACACAAATATACACTGTACGTTTGTTATTCTCGAGATGCTGGTGGGATTAATATGAATATTTCTTTTGGTGTTTGCTGATAACACATCTAGAGCTGTGTATTCCCAGAGGACGTACATTATGTTTGATGGGCCTGCTCCCTCGTATCCGTGGTGATGCCATAGCAAGGTCATTACGATTACACTTTCTTTGCAAAAAAACAACCCGCTACCACCCACAGACGTACTTTGACCCCTTTCTATTTATTCCCTTTCCTACTGAGGCATGAATTGTAACGTGGAAGCAGCCTCCGGGTGGACGTGCATGACCGGGCCGTTCACAGTTTGCAGGGAAACAGAAAACGAGTGGACAGTCGCAGGGACAAAGCAGACATATGCCCCCTCCCCACCCCCCCAGGAAACATCACCTGCTCATCTTCTAGAGAGCACAGACAGAAGACCACACAAACAACGGGTCAGAGGTCTCACCTCCGGGTAGTTCAGCGGGGCCACAGCTCGTCCTCTCTGGGTCTATGTCGGCCACCCACAGGGTGTGGATGCAGCCCTTCCACAGGCCGTAATGGGCCATCTGGCAGGTCTGGTTTCCGCTGAAGTTCTTTGATTGGGCCAGCTCCACCCAAAACTCTGTCCCCACGCCCAGCACCGTCAGGGTCACTCCAACGATGGCCACAAAGAAGGCCAGCTTGATCTTTCCCTCCAGGCTGTCGCTTATCTTTTGGCTCCTCCGCTGTACCCTCCCGCCTTTCATCCCACCCAAACCCCCACCTTGTGCGACCCCTGCCACGCCGATGCGACCGTCGTCGTCCGGCTGTACGAAGTAGTTTGACCACATTCTGATCTCACGGTCGGGCTCGGCGCAGGCGCAGAGGAAAGAAGAGGGCGTCGAGGCTAAATGTTACAGGAGCAAATAATAGTCACAAAGACGGAAGAGTGGGTTTAGTAGACGTGCATGTTAAACGGAAGGATTGGATGTCTTAACAAAACAAAAAAAGATTCAACTATCCTGTGGTGGACAGTAAAAATTGAGCAGGAACAGTCAGGGGAACAAAGGATGACGGTGATATTAGACAGAAAGAGACGTGGACAGAGCTGCAAGGTGGGGAGGTGGTGGATGAAGTAAGGAAATTATGAGATGGGAGGAGACGGAGGCAAGGAGCAGGAGCGCCAGTGTCTGTTTTCTGTCCAGTCCCCCTGAAATTGAGAGATGAAACAGAAAGATGAAGGAGCAGCCGGCATACGCTTCAACAAGAGCACAATCCTTTCATCGCCGGCATCATTTTTAATTTCCAAGTCTTATCAGCATCTACAGTATTGCCTTCCTAAAAGCCATCTGACGGGTTCTCAGCCAACAATAGATGGGCCATATGGCGTCTCCCCGAAAGGCAGATTTTTCTCGCGTCAGATGAAGAAACGATTGGCCTGGATGAGCCGTCGGAGTCGGGTGGTGTGGGTTCAAGGTGGGAGGTGACACCGCAGCGCCAGACTGGATCAGCAAACTTCTATTTTTTCCCCAGAGGGGTTGACAACAGCTCTTCCCCAAACAGGTAAACTATTTCTGGTCCAGACACACTAATACCTCCTGCAGATACACTTGGAATCCGAAGGCACAGCTGTCTTTGCGCGCCTTTCAGTGTTTTGCCGCGTTCACTGTAAGTGCGTCCAGGCTTATGGACGAGACGTTTGTGTTATTCCCGAAACCAGGGAGCCGGGGGCCTCCAGGAGCAGTTTAAAAGACGTGAGTGGCGGGGCAGGACGGCGTCGCCGCTCTGCACGCGGTGCGCGAGAGGTGATAATTCACGGCTGAACCCCTTGGCGGGGGGGGGAAGGGGGGGGGTAAATAACTCTGCTTTGCAGTGCACCAGGTCACATAGCCGAGGCGAGGGGGGCCGGTCAGGAAAGCAGCGGGGCCACACACACAGTCGGTGGATCACTTAGGCACTTAACAGAGTTTTGTAGATTGTGTGCAGGCAATGCGATTCTCAGTGTCGGTGTCATGCAATTCTTTTGTGTGCAGTGTTCTGTATTATATAAATATAACAAGCGCAAAGCTGTATGTATTTTTAGAGTTTTGCTGTAACGTATCCTCACACGGGGCTCCACTTTTTTGGCGACATTCATTTGGACAAGATACATTTAGAAACACGATTATATCATCGCGAAATCACTCTGCCAGAAGTTGAAAAAGAGTATGGATTTACCACCCGATGCTATTTCACAGTGAGCACTGTAAAGGACTAATAACAGGAATAATCATCTAATATTAAGAGTGAAGGTTTAAAATGTCTCTAATGGTCCCACAGACATGCATTTGAATACTCCTCCAACATTACAAGACTGCAGCTGCTGACAGGCAAGTTAGTAGTGTGATAGAGTTACAAACCTTTATCACATTACATCCAGATCAACCACAGGATGATCAGAGGGGTCAGAGCCCACCAGGTTATTTCACTGGACTGGATAACACAGAAAAATGCTCACTTTAACGTTATCCTGAGCTGTGCGTTAATGCAAGTCTTAATGGTTGGTGATGCAAGCTAAACTTAAAAAGGACAGACTTAAGTTCTGCAGAAGCAGATGCTACGCTCATAAACAAAGGGGGGGGGGGGGTACGAGAGGAAAACATCTGATCTGTCCGTATCATCAGAAAGCAACAACTAGCGGAGTGAAAAGGAGAGTAAGTCTGACCTGTTTGGTGTGTTTGTTCAGTTCAGGAGGAAGAGACGCTGGAAACTTAATAGAGGGGTGGAGTGCTGATTGGAAGTGGGCGAAAGAAAGGGAGAGAGAGAGAGGGGGGAGGTACATGAAGGTTATGGAAAGTGAGTGTAACCGGGGGGAGGGGGGCTGCAGTCTGGTTGGTTAACACTGTTTATGATTACATTTTTGTTGTTGTTTGCACTGCTGCTTTTCCCTTTAGACGCCATGTACAATCTCAACAACGCGCTGTTCACACGACACACGCGTTTGAGTATTAAATCAACGCGCAGAGGGGCTGCCAGGTCACATGGCCACGCAACAAAAAACACGTTTGTATCTGTGATAGCCGTGCTGTTTGTTTGTACGTGTGATTTTGTGCATATGTGTGGGTGTGTGTGTGTGTGTGGGTGTGTGTGTGTGTGGGGGGGTGTCTATTTTAGAGAGGCACCTGTTAATGACATTAAGTAAGGGGGAAGGAGGAGCCTGTGTTTACATGATAGGGGCGAGGATTGCGTTTTACACCGTTGGTGTGGACGCAGGGACGGAGAGCGAAAAAGGAAACGAGTGCAGAGCAAAACAGAAATATGGGAAAAGGAGGCTTAGAGGTTGGATACAAAAGCAGAGAAAGCCCGATGTATGAGGCAGATGCAGATATGAACCACAAGGCCTCCAAATCTAATGGATTAGAAAAGAAAATCAACGTGAAGCTCATTTCAATCCTCACTGAAGTGAGGGTGCAGAGAGACGTGAGAGAGACAGTCTGGTCTCGTGGAAAGCTCTACTCGCCTCTGCCACAGTTTAGGTTACACTGGTGGCCCAGTGAGGGGCCGGCCGGGCCCCAGACGCGAGGGGAGGGTAAGAGGGGAGGGGGGTGGGGGGCAAACTGAGAGTGAGTCAGAGATAGAGAGACAGAACAGAAGAAGGACAAAACAGGCTGTAGGGGCTTGACAGGTAAAATAAACACCTACAACGTCCAAAACACTAACGTTTTAGGAAGCATTGTTGATGAAGCCACGGTGCAGTTTGCAAATGGACCTTGGCAGAGAGCAAGAGACATGTTGGGTTACATGACACATTAAGGGTCTGGCTACTAAATGCACATATGTTCCCTTAAAATGACTTTGCTTCTAATTATGCGGCCTAACTCTTCTCATCTTTCATGTGAGACTCACGGAAAGTGTCCACAGGCGTTCCGAGGCCATCAACAATCTACAGTGTGCTGATGTGAACAATCTTCTCTCCACATTACTCAACAGGCCCTGTCAGCAGTTCTGGGGTACGCTTGAATGCACCAAACGGCACACATGTGTTCTTGTGCATGCAGCCGACCGCACGCCGACCGCACATGTGCACATTACAGCTGCAACCACAAAATAGTCCACAATAAACCCGCTATCAGTTTGTTTTAATGACGTAATAATGTGCAAATAACTACAGCACCCATCTTTGAGTGAATGCTTTAATTATTTAAAATAAAGTTGTTGCTTTTCCAGTCGTGACATTCTGGGAAAGTCACAGTGTTAGAATAGAAAACGGGGTGTTCTTTTTTATTTTCTCATGACGTTATCATTGGCACTGTTCTGTTCACATTCACAATGCCAGGAAACCAGTTCAGGTGAATCCAGGTAATTGTGTAATTCACACCTGTGCCTTTCCTATTGTGATTTGTCAAGATGGCTACTTAAAAAAAAATCCCTTCCCACACAATAAACCCTGAATCTTTTTTGAGAGATACTTCTACGTCAGGGTCAGTCCTCACACGAGGAACGTTGAAAACCCTTTTAGCTCCGAGTGCAAGCGGCCACATATGCACGAGGAGGACTGAACCCATCCTACTCCGGCGCTGCACTCCCCCTCTGCTGCAGTGTTCTATCTTTCTGAATGAGGATCAATGGGGAGGCATCGCCCAGAATGACAAAGACCATCGCCAGCGTTTTATATCCGCCACCAGAGGGGGATGAACGTGCAACCTTCACTGCAGCATAAGGCCTCGGAAAAGGTTCCTGACAACATATAATGGGTCTTTTGTTAAGCAAACGCAGCGTCCCGACCTTTGAGAGAGGCAGGAGCTGCTGTGCACGTTTCCTCTGGAGGATTGTGGCCGCTGTTGGCCGGAGAGAGAGAGAGAGAGAGAGAGAGCTGCTGTTTCATCTGTGCCCTCTGGGAAGCACGGCGTACAGGGCGCTGGGTTTTGTGCAGCGGGGTGTAGCGATGCAGATGGAGATGGGCAGTCGAGAGCTGACACAGGACGTTAGATGATGACAGAGATTTGTTGCTGTCCTGTAACTTTTACAGTTACAATTCCGAGTGGACATCGCGGTTGACAAGTGCTGCTGCTGACCAAGGCTGTGTGCTCATGTGGACTGATGTAAATAGGATGGGAAGAATAGATAAAAACAACTTCGCTGGATTTCTTGGAGGATTCAGATACAGCCGGCAGCCCCAATTTGCACAGGTTAAAATCAAACAAATGACATGTAAATAACGAGGATTAGTGTTCAGAGGAAAGAGGCCCGAGGCAGCTTATTGATTGGCCCAACCTAATTGATATAAAAAATATAAAAAAAACAACTCCACCGTTGGAAATATTTTTGGGGGAAATGAAATAACTAAGAGAGAAATGAATGTGTTCGTGAAATATGTTTTGTATGACTTTAAATAAAAGGTTACTCTAATCAGAGGAGAGAATCAGTTTTGTGAGTCTGGATCCTTTTAACTATAAGTATAAAACTTGATCTCTGCTTGTGAGTTGTTGGGGAAGATGTAAGCTGCTAAGGATTGATCAATAAACTCTGTTAACTGAATTCATCTTTAACAATAAAAACTTTACTGTGGTACACGCGTGTGCACGTCCAGCAAACACAAATGTATTATGAATTCTGTAGGATCTCATAAACTGAATTATGATTTATTTTATTTTCAAATACTTTTTTTGCATTCCATTTTTGTATACCTATTTGTTTTCCTATACTATGACTTCTTTGTACACTTGATGACATAGTATAGTACTGGTATAGTATAATTGATTTTTTTATTTCTCTAAAATAAAGGTAACGGTAGTTTTTCGATTTCAAAATCCGAAGATTTGCAGGTGAATTTCTTTGACAATTTGTGAAACTAGGCTGCACCACATGTCTGCTCCAAGAGACATGAAATATATTCTGCATTTATGATCTTTTGTCATTTTAGAAACAGTCTCACGTCTTAAAAAAAAGAAGACATTTCTGGAGGACATTTTTACTGGGTTGTGTAAAACGATCGCACAGACTATGTTGCAGTATGACTAATATGGATTACTTTTTGGAAAATATCAACATTTTTCTTAAGCACAGGACTAGATTAATTATATTAATAATTATCTACTGAATCAAAGCGTGCGGACATGACACCAATCTCCATGTGTGTAATTAACTATGAATGTCATCACTGTTTGAATTAGTGTCAGTGGAACCTGCCGTGCATGAGAAGACACATCATGTAACTATTATTTGAACGACGGTTGAAAACAAATTGGACAAACGAAACGCCGCTTTGGCTTTTTATTAACCAAATGTGGTTATTAGGAGTTTAAATCATTGAAGAAATCCATTCCAGAGAGGAATGAAATGTATGAGACACTGAGAAAGCACATTTCAGACAGTAGGGATTTAACATCCTGCCAAAACCAAGGACACAATCTTTCAGCAACCCCCAAAGAGAAGACCGTCTCAGGCCCGTACGGGGTGGACAGGTGGTCCTCAGAGGTTTCAGGGCAGAAGAGCGAAAAACATATCGTGCAGCTACATACAGACCTCTAAGCTTTGTGTCCCCTCCACCCAAAATGACCAAATGAGGTTGATGAAACATTCAAATGTGGAATCTTGTTTGTGAAAATGGTTACGTGTAGCATGTCGGTCTGTGAATTCACTCCCACAGCCTAAATCTCTCAAAGGAGCGGCGCAGTAATTTGTTATTCAGACTGGACGAGCCACCTGCAATCAGATGATCTAGTTTGTCTCTAAATAGAAAACAGTGGAGGTCGACAGAACAGGAGAAACATTGTGTGGTTTTGGTTTCCCCCTGCAGTACAACATGAGTCAAAAGTATTAGTCTTGTGTTTATTTGGTCTTATCGAAGAGGTGAGACGTTGACACACAAAAAAAAACAATCGGGTCCAACACATCTTACACCCCCAATCGGCTGGGAAACAAGGATAGATAAAAAATAGTGATGCAAGGCTAAAGGACAATATAGTAACATGTAAATCAACATACTGACATCCGCAGAGGGGCAAGCCAAATTTATTTCTCTAGCAAATTGACATGTAATAACATTAAGGCTTTTTGGTAAGGATGATATAAATCCTCTACTAAAGACCAATAGCTTTGCCTCAACATATTATGTTCTAATTAAATCAGGACTGTACTGCTGAGACAAACAACCTCAACTGTTAAAAGCTGTGCACAAATGTGAGAAGAAAAAAAAAGTTACAGGAAAAAAAAACCCTACAAAATGATAGTGGAACATGTTCAATTCTGAAGCTCATGTCATTCAGAGGCCTGAATATAACAATATTACAGCTCAAATCAGTGACGCCACACACAGTATTGGAGCAATTACAGTTGACATTTAGAAAGTCCAATTAGACAACATATTCTAACAGTCGACCAGAGGGGGGCAGCAATCTGGTGAAAAATTGAAGGACCGTAAAGAAACGATAAGTCAAATCAGATTTTTATTTTTGAGGACTCTCCTCTCACCTTCTAACGATGGTGACAGACGGAGCTACTGTATGTCTGGATTACATGGTCAAACAAAAATGCCCTCATCCTACACAAATAAACACTCCTGTTTTGTCTCTCTTCTCCTTCAGAATAGTCCAGTTAGTTCCCGACTGCAACTTCTTCCCAATGTACTTAAAACAGGCCGCCTCCATTTAAATACAAACCTTAAAGTGTGGTACCCCCCTCCCACCCAAAATGACATCCCTTTCACACAAAGTATAAAAGTTGTTGACCCCCTCCTGGACCATTACACACACATTTCTCAAAAAATCTTTTGACTACCCCACCCACCCAGCTACACCCGTACCACCCAAACCTAGCCCCCCCCCCCCCCCCGGTATGGACTCAATATTAACAATTCCTGCTCTTAACCAATTCCAAAAAACTGTTCCAACTGCTGGACATTTCACATAGATCTCAAATGATTAATTGGATATCACCAAAGCCATTTGTCAAATGATTAATACTCAGATCTAACTGAAACGTTGCTCTGCCAAATCAATCAGGGGGCTGATTTAAAAATGGACGATACATGTTCCCTCCCTCCCTCCCCCCCTCCCTCGTTTTTTATCTTCAGGTCTCCTCTACCAGAAGTCCCGACGGTGATAAGCATCTGGATCGCAGTATTTGGTCACCACCACTCTGTTGGCAAACTTCCTTCCTGTCAGCCCCTGCATGGCCTTCTGGGAGTCAAAAACAGACATGAACTCCACAAAGATCTACAAAAAAGGAGAGAAGGAAATTACAATGACGGCGTGTGCGTGTGTGTGTCATACAACCATTTTCTGGATCAAATGCGGCAGTTCCTACCTTGCCGGTCCCAGGCACCTCCAGGCCGTCCACGGGTCGAGGAATCTCGATGCTCTTAACGGCGCCGTACTTGCTGCACTCATCCCGGACATCCTCAACAATCTCCTCATACTCTTCGTCGTCCAGCAGCTCCTCTGGCGCCACCATGTTCATCAGACACAGCACCTCAGTGGGCAAGCCACCCATCTGAGTCACTGAGCTATTCAGACCGGGCACCTGCAGCGTCACCGGGGTCTGATTTATACTTGTCTGCAAGGACAGACGGGACGGTGAGAACAGGGTCAATGCCACACTTTATGTAACAACGTGCAGAGTATTTTGACTTTAAGAATAGACTCAAGACAATCTTCTATGTCATTCTGAATTCCTAAACAGAAAAGGTTTGGAAATCCTGTCAGAAATGAAGGACCTTCTGACGTCACCCTATTTGAATACAAGTATTTTCCTGCATGTTAATCATTCGATTGTGCTTGGACACTCACCAGGGTGGCGTTCTTGGATCCCACACTTGCTCTTTGCACCAGGAGCTTCTTGTCTCCCAGCTGCATGCCGTTCAGCCCAGCTATAGCCTGCAAAACAGTAAAGTTTTAAAAATACAATTTCCAAAAGAGATTTCAAATGATTTAGTAAGACAAACTTCTGTAGCATTGCCTACCTGGTCATTAAGGTTCACATCAACATATTCACAAAAGGCATATCCCTTAGATAAGCCAGTAGCACTGTCCTTGACCAGGTTGAAGGCCTTCAGAGGCCCGAATGACGTCAAGAGCTCCTTCACCTAAGACAGAAATAAATGTATTGCTGTATCATTGCAAACAAAAGCAACCCATCTTTCTACCATTCATACTTTAATATTGATCTGTATTCTTTATTTGCATTATTGCAACATGAACAAGTAATATTGTATACGTGAACAAATTTACAAAAATATATGGTCAATTTTATAAAGTGATTCAACAAAGAGGGTGCTGGCTGCAAAGCAACCTGAGGCCCTTCCAGTTCCCTTCCCGGTGCCGCTCGCCTCAAAAGTACTTCTTACTCAAACTACTATTGTTTAGGGAGGTTAACACTGTTCTGGAATAAGAAATGCATGTTTGGTGCATAAACCGCATATTCAAAAATACTAACCTGGTCATCATTCAGGTAGTTGGGCAAGCCGCCGATGAAGAGCTTGTGAGCAGAGTCGGGAACCACTGTAGACACTACACCTGAAGGACCCATGAGGAAGACAGTAAGAGACATAAAAGGGCAATACACAGAGAGCAAGCTCCTGTGAATAATGTATTACTGATTACTCATGAATTATGCCACAAGTACTTAGGGTTAAAAACCATTAATTGGCTGTGTACCAGGCACATAGACACTGGGGTTCTCGCTCATGCCGGGCAGCGGCTGGTAATCGTGGGGACGACGAATCTTCAGACTCTGGCCTTGAAAGATTATACCATCAAAGGCCATTGCCTGTGTGGTTTCGTCCACTGAACGGAACTAGAGACAAATTAGGGGATTAAAATCTAAAAATTGTTCGACACACTCAGGGAGAACACGTGACAAGTTAAAAAGAGTGGCCCTTGTTTCACCTCAAGGAAGGCAAAATTCTTATCCTGGTTGATCTGTACTGCAAGCACAGGGTTTCCAGGGGCCTGAGTGAGACCACCCAGACGCATCTGGGCATTGAAGAAGTCCATCATTGACTCCTGCACAGAAAGGGGGCGGCGTTAAGGAACATAGTTATATTTAAATACACAGGCTGATATTTTTTTTAAATGATTTTTAAAGAGCAATAAACTTGAATCAATGCAGAAGCTAAATGCTGTCCCGCTCCTCACTTCAGTGATACCAAAGGGTATGTTGCCAACGTAGAGCCGGCGGGCCTGCCGGGTCATCTGGCTGCCCACTACAGGTACTGGGGTGGGAGTAACAGCCAGGCCATCTGGAGTCATGGTCGGCAGGAGGGCGGTGGCTGGGATCTGGCCTGCAGCTAAAGAGCAACGGGAGGAAGAACGTGTCAATTTTATTGTGAACCAAACAGTTCTTAAACTCCGAAACAAGTAACCCCTTCAATATGCATCCAGGAAGAGAAACGAGGATGGGTTACCTTGCATGGCTTTGTACTGCATGGGAGTGATGTGTTCAAAACCAGGTGGTGGGACATCCCAGTACTTCTTCACCTTGTTCTTCTTCTTCTCACGGTGTGGAGAGCGGCTGTGCAGGAAGGGATAGAAGGTGAACAAAAAAAAAAAAAGGCAGAACAAGCAACACGTAAGCCCTCATTAGCTCAGCTTTCAACTTCTGGCTCAGATATTGGGCAATGTCCTCATAATATACAAAAACATCTGGTAACAGGGGAGATTGCACCAACGTCGGAGGGACGGAAAACCCAACAGACATAATTAGACATTGAGTCAACACCACATAGAATCAGGGGCATGTCATTAAATAGCAGTTGTGGCAACAAGGCACAAAGCGACTGTTGTGTTGCTTTATTACCTTCCAGCATTGTCCGGGGGGAAGCTGGGTGGTGAGCTGAAATGACATTGGAAGGGGTTCACATTTCTCTGAAAATCCATCATGGTAATCACGAACATTTCCACTTCTAAAAAATTTGAACCCATGTCTCGCTTCAGCGAGCCTCGTGGTTGACACATAATACCATTTGCAAACAACTAATTATGCAATAAACGCAGAAATGATATATCCTCAGAAGTATGCGGGAGCTGGAAAGTGGATTGATCCAATGTTAAACATTCTGTTAACACCAATTAAACACCAGTAACTTGTTTCAAATTAGCAAAGACACCACGAGCAAGAGTCAGACCAGAGGTCAAATTTAAAGTTTGCATTAGGAGTGCATTCAAGCAGCAGCTCTCGAGATGTATTCCTTCAAACGGTTACAAAATGGTATCAATTTAATGTATTTACTCATTTATTCAGACTCACAAAAAGGGGAATTTCCCTGAAAACATACAGGATTGTTGAATGGTAGACGCTCATCACCGGGTTTAGAAGCACAATGAGAAGGAGTTTTACTCGTATAAAAATGATTAAACAACCATCGGCCTAAATAGATCCTCAGAGTGAGACAGGTAATGCATGGCTACATGAACCAAAGATATCTGATGTAATGTGACACCAGAGTGAATATGCATAGAATACAAAAACACAAAGCAATGCTTCTCACGTCAGTTCTACTGGCGCCTGCCTGGGCGCTTTAAGATTTCCGGCTGGATCTGAAATGCTTAATAAAAAAAAAACGTACAAAAACGTTAAATCCTCATCAATATAAAATATTGAAGCAGCTGTTGCTTTTGGCATTCGAGAGTTTTCCCAGATGCTGGAGGCAAATGACTTTAGCACCTGTAACAAAGGGCTTAAGGACAGAACATAAAAATAACAGCCAAATGTTCAGTGGAGGAGGTTTAGCTCATGTGAAGTTCAATGACATTTGATTGATCTACAGGTTACAATTGCTGCAGACACCCATCAACTTAAGACGGTCTTAGACAGACACTGGTCATTTTGAGAAAACGTGGTGGGAGTGGACAGTTACACAAACTGAAAAGCCATTAATGTAGAATATATGATGAGACGTATGTTTTCACACGCCTTTTGGTCCTGGTGCAGTTTTGTTTTGTTTTAAAAAAGGTACTCACCTGCGCCTGTGTCTGCGGTCCTTACTGTCCCCGCGGCGGTCCCTGCTGCGTCTGTCCCTGTCTCTGCTCTTCCTTTTCCTCTCTCTGCTGCGGCTGCGGGAGGAGGACCGGCGGTGGTGGCGGTTCTCCTTGTCTCTTTCAGCTGCAAAGACAGAAATGTCTTTAATCATAGTCAAGCATAATGGCATATTAAAATATATCCAGTAGAGGCAATTCATAGATAACAGAGTTCGTATGGTGGTACTAAAATGTGTATGCAGTGCTCATGATGTTTAAGATAGATGTATGTAGATTGATGTTTGGGTTTGCAGGTGCCACTATGTGTAACTTGCCCAAATCATAGTGTAACGATGTTTACTAGCTAGGGGCAGTGCATTACAAAGAAAGTGTCTGAGGATGGGTACAGGAACAGGTAGTGAAAAAGCTGAGAGCAAAAATGGTTCACTTAAACAGCACTGGAAATGTTCATTGGACGCAACAGCTGCAACGAACGAACGCTAGCTTCCCCCATTCAGTCAGCTGCCTACCATGATTTAGCCCGGCCCTGCCTTGGAGAAACAATGCAAGTTACCTTATAGTTACGAGGCCTACTGACAATTTACGAATACAATATAAGCCGTAAATTAATCGCAATCAGCAATATCGGGTTCAACAGTCGTATTTAATGAGCACATCCGAGAATCCATTCTGTATCAAATAGCGCAGGAGCGTGGGCTTCTGGTTTACACCATGTTCCAGCAATTAGACATACCCTGGTCGCTAAGATGATGGCGGCCATTACAACAAATTCGGCCCATTGTTGTTTTATAGGTGTTGTTCATCCAGCTAATTTACCTTGTTTGTTTTCAGAGAGCTGTCTTTCGAATTCGTCGAAGTCCGACATCTCTGGCGGTGGAGGCTGTTACGCTTTCGGTGGCTGCGTTGTTCAGTTGGCGTCGGCTAGCTTCTGCTAGCAACAAAGCGCACAGCACCTAAAAACAAGCGCCTCGCCGATGTAACGTCAGCTCGAGTAGATTTCCTCCGACTCGCAGTCTACTTAACGACAGAAATACCCCAGATGGCTAGCCAGGTCACACATGTGCGGTGCGATACTTATTTACAACCTAACAGCCAGAATCGCTGAGAAAGAAAACGTGCTCGCATGGGTTAGCTTGCTAATGTTAGCCACCTAGCTCTTGTCGCAAAGTCCAGAAGAACGAGGCCTTCGGCTCCAGACACTGCCGTTAGTGTGGAAAATCGTTAGCCAGTTAGCTAGCTAGCAAGTACGAAAGTCGAATGAATTATACTCTTTTACAAGCCAAAAACAAACCCCAGGCGGCCACTGGTCCAAGATGCACGGTTATTTAACACTATAAGTCAAATGTATACGCCTTTAAATGCGAAAAGGCTCGCGAAAACAATAACGATTTCGGTATGCCCGCTTCTTTGCTTCGTCTCCCAGGTGCCGTGACACCGGAACTCGATGAATGACAGACTTCCGGTAATTGAGTAGGAAAGACGCTGCAGAGCATTTTATCCTGCGAAGACACGATCGGAGAATAACTGAGAACGAATAACCTCCCTTATAATTAGAGCGGCCGAGTTGATTCTCATTATCGTCTGCTAAAGCTGAGTTTAAGGTGGGATCACTTTAAAAAAAAATGTTGTCACCAGTTCAAGTCTTGCCAAATCAAGGCAAGTCAAGATAGCTTATTTAGGATTTGGAGTCTTGACCCACTTTTTAAAAACTCAAATATATTACTGATCTGATATATTGTGTGTATATATATATATATATATATATATATATATATATATATATATTAAATACTAACAGAATATGGGTTAATTAAATGTAGTACATTTGTAAATATCATGTACTGCAAAATGTAGTAGCCCAGTTTATGACGCTTAAAAAATAAATAAATTCTTCTTTGCTAACAATGCGTGGCATTATATTATACTAGATTACCAGGTCCAGCAGACCTGCAAATCACTCACTTTCCTCCCCAACCACAAGCATATTCCAGTGAGTAATGTTGGATTTTATAGATTAATAAATCTACATTTTTTAAGGAATTAAATGCCTTGATGAAATGTGTGTCTTACTATACATTTTGGTGAATGATAAGCATTTTTTCAGTGAGATACAAATTTCAGTCAACATACAGAAATATACAACATACAAATATGGCAAATAAATCATTATTTTTTAAACGCTATGAACCATTATGATTTTGCAAAGTCTGCTTATAAGCTGCACTGCTTGCTTTGTAGCCATACAAACAATCATTGAGTGAAAATAGCATCACTTCTGTTTACTTGAAAAAGTTGAGTCACTGTATTCCACTGTTACCTAATCTGTTTTAGCATAATAGCATAATAATATCATAACTTCACTGCACCAATATAAACACCACGCATTAGTATACAATATAATCAACATGTCTGCGGCTTTGACTATTATGAATTTTGACGCGACTATCAAGCTCTTTTTGAATGTGTCGTGAAATACTGGTAAGCTGATTGCTTCTGCTGATTCTGTGACTGACATTATACAGTTGTTAGTGGTATTAATGCCCACAGATTTCCTCACAGAACCAGAAGTTACATTGAGTTACAAATAGATAGTTTGATAAAAGCTGTGCACCGACTTAAAAAAGTATTTTTTGTCACAAAAGCATTATAGCAACAGTCTTAATACCAGAAGCATAAGAAGACAATCTGTGTATTTCAGTACGGATAATTAAAAAAAAGGTTGGCACAACAATGCGGCAGTATTGCTGTTCAAATCGAGCACAGGACCAACGGTTATTAACACATACAAAACCAAAAACCTGTTTGTGTTTGTCCTTCTCTTTGTAACAAAAAACACAGTGACCTGTTGGATACGTGTCGTTCCTCTTTCCCTTATGGCCCAGGAAATGGAAATAAAAAGAGGCCGTTAATGACTCTAATGTAGTGGGGGTTCCGGTAGGGAATGTACTGTCAAAACTGTCAAAAAGCGCAGGGAAATCCCAAAGATGTGAGAATGTGAAGTGAAAATGTTTGAAGATATAATGACGCAAATGTAAAAAATACTACAACAAAGACACAACAAAACATATGGAGTGCAGTATCATTTCAGCGTCCATGGACACTGTGAGAGAAAGCCACCGCATTTGTAGGATTGTAGGAACACAAATGATGTGATAGAAAATCGCTATGCTTGTTAATCATTTAGACTGCCAACAACTGAAATAACAGATTATCACTTAATGGTTCTATTCTCCACAGTCTGATCCAGATGTTCAGGAACGAAAGATGTGTGTGTCTCTGCCATATCCGAGGCCAAAACACAAATGATTGTACGTATGTGCTGAAGAAAAACAGTCCAAACATTAACGACACATTCTGAACCGCACGGACATGAATGACAACCATGTTTCCTTTATCTCTCTGAACGCAGCTGCCACTTCCCTTAAATATTGCCTGGAATATTGGCCAGGATTCACCAAAGAAACTGAAATAAATGTGAGATGTGTATTTGCTTTGAAAGGTAAAGGATCTCAGCTAGGGCTTGGCGGTACACCGGTTCAAACGGTACACCGGTATAAGATTTCCGTACGGCCATTTGGCCAAACCGCCCAGCCCTAATCTCAGCCACAGTTCACACGGCCACATCCAGGATGCAGACATAGCAAACTAATTCCTAATGCCTCTGGAAGTGTCTGTGCAGAAATGAGGCGGCACGCAGCATCCGAAGCAAACTGCCTCTTCTGTCCACTATTCATCGATTTCCACAAATAAATCCTGTTTGTTTTGTCTCTCCTCAGTGTCTAAACCTGTAGGAGATGGGCAGGAGCAGGTTATTCTTTTTCAGGGCCTGCACCCTGCTCAGCGTCTCCTCGTCCAGCGCCGCGTAGCAGCGCCGGGCGTAGTCCAGCAGCTTCTCCTTGGACGGGTCAAACTCGCCCACCTCCGCCACTTTCTCCGGGGCGACTAGAAGCAGCTCGGCAATGGGCGTAGTAGAAGCCACCGTGTTGCGGTCCACACCGTGGATTTGGAAGGCTTTCGACATGTTTTTCAGACGCTGGTATGTAAGCAGGATCTTCTTGTAGCGAAACAGCACTCCAGCAGCATCTTTCACTGAGGGACGAGAATGGACAGGAGCGTTAGTCTAGAGTTATATGACAGCCTATGGTTGACTAATGGAATGGAAGTATTGAGTTTTGTTGCGGGATTACCTCTTTGCCGCTCTCTAGGGGCTCGGAAGATCCGTCTCCTCTTGAATTGGTGTCTGTTGCCGTTAATGGTGCCTTGCATTAAATCTTCCCCCGACATCATTTCCTCTTCCTCGAGGTAGCCGTCCTGCTCCAAGTACTCATCAGACTCTCCCAAGAGTGAAAGTGAATCTGATGAGAACATTAAAAAACAACTCTCAACAAAGGCCACAGGAGCCACAAGATTCAGATGAATTAAAGTGGTGGGTTTGTAGGATGTACGTTACCTGGGCCTATGTTGCTGTGCCCACTCATTTCACTCATGGATGACCTCGTAGCACTATTGCCGTTGCCACTGCTGCCGCTGGCTGAAGTATTGGGAGTACTATGGCTGTGGCCTTGCAAGATGGCCTGGGATTGTGTAGAGCTGAACAAAGCATTAATAGAGGCAAGCTGATTGGTTAGCGGATTGGAGCCATGGTTCTTGGAAGGCACCATCGTTGGAGGACCAGGCCTTCGTTGGATAAACTGACGTGAGGGGAAATGCTGAGACTCAGACTTCTGTTGCTCTATAAAGAGATAAGAGAGATGGAATAAATATTTAAAACAATAAACCGTGTACATTCTACACTTAAGCATAACTTCAGCAAACCAAACACTATGTGTAACGATTTCAAACTTAGTATTTGAGTGCATAAATCTTTGCTTTTACCACTGGGACGATCTTCCTCTCTTCTTGCCCTCCAGTTGAATCGTCTAGATTCAAAACCTGCAGAGAGACACATATAAAGAGTTTTTAAAAAAAAGAGTCAACCTGATTTACATTTTATTGGACATATCGACCTCTCACACCTGTGCACTCTCCTCACCGTTGCTGTACTGGCTCGGACTTTGCTCCTGTCCCTGGCTCTTTGTGGAGAAGATGAAGCGGTCCAGCTGGCAACGGAGGAAGTCCCTCTCCTCCTCTAAGTCCTCGATTCTTTTCTGCAGCCAAGAGTTTTTCTCCAGAGAGATCTGCAGCTGAGTCCTCAGGTTGGTGATCACCATGTATGAGTTGTTGACTTGAGATGCGCCAGCAGATGGGGTCGACTCTGAGGGGGAAAGACAGGATTTACGGGAAATGTCCAGTTTTGTCAGAGGAAACTTTGTATGAACAATAAAAGTATTGTACTGGTAAAAGGGAATATTGGTTCCAACATTCACCTTCAAAATTCTGATCGCTCTGATTGAAAAATCCTGGCTGCTCAAAGTTGCTCTCTTCATAGGGGATGGAAATTTCATAGGCGTCCTCATTTTTGGGAGCTGGACAGGAGGAAATGTGAATAATTGTTCGATGAATGCCAGAACTAGCGGCTTTTAAATCATGTATGCATGTGAAACCTTACTCTGCAGGTGAACTGCGTGGCTCTTGGATGTGGAAGCAGCATCAGTCCTGTTCGCGTCCTCCATCTCATACACGGGACAACGGAAAGATATAACGTTAGATTAGTTACTGTTTCTGATGTGATATTTAAACACCAATGCGTCGTACAAATAACCTGGCGACAATTACACAAATATGGCATTCATGATCACATTCTTAAAGAAAAAAAACGAGTAACGCCGCAGTTCACCGGCAGTTTTCATGATGCTGTCCGTCGTATTTTGCAAGCTCGGACATCCAGCAAACATGATCTCATATTATCGGTCATTTGTCTCGTCAGTCGTATTTAATCTGATAGAGTAACGCGGAATGTGAGACACAGGAATGTGCACGTATACGTATTATAATGTTAGTGTCCAGGTAATGAGCTCACTACATCGCAGGGAGCTAACAGTAATAAGAGTCAACGTCAGCTCTGCGAACATGTTAGCTTGGCTTCACGTTAGCAAGAATTCAGCTGCGATTATAAAATTACGATTCCGTCCTCTCGGAACACTTCAGAGTTCTGTTCCGTCCTTCAGACACGACCAGAACCCCCATGCTAACAATATACAGTGCAGAAACGGGTACATACCGCGTTACGTTTGTAATAACTTAATCGCGCACATGTAATAAGACGTTATTACTCTGTCATATCCCCATTCACCCGGTCGCCTGCTAGCTAACAAGCTAACAATAACAATTATCTCTTTTATTTTTTTCAACGCTCTCCTGCGTCATTTCCGGAGGTAATGAGCGTCTTTAATAAGCCCCGATTTAAAACAAAAATGTAACGCAGAGGCTTTATCAGTAAAGGAACGAATGATATAACTTACTGACGTATTTCAAGTGTTTAAAATACGTAGTTATATGATTAACCAATTTTGCGCGCTGCAGAGTAACATGTCGGTAGTTGCTCATCAAGTCGGACGCAACGTGAAGCGACAGCGTTCTATTCTGCGCCGTGCGGGACGCGGGGAAGGTGAGGACAGACAGACAGGTAGAGCGGGTCACGAGGTCTCACCTTTCAGTGCCGTCGCGTGGCTTTTTAGCGTCCACCTGGGAACATATCAAATCGCACGATCCGCATCGTAATCGCCGTCGAGTTTTGTTTCACTAGCAAACTGGCGACACGACGGTAAGTTTTCCGTTTCCTTTGGCATAAATGTCTCCGTACAACTGGTTACCAGACGTTGGTGGCGTGTTTGTTCAGCGCGGCTGTGGGAGGACAGGTGTGGCACCTGTTTACACTGCAATGCAGCACCTGTGCTCACCTTTTCCGATGCTTCTGTTACTTTAATATACCTGTGTTTATCGCAGAAAACCATCTCCCGCCCACGCGATAAATGAATTAAAAATATCTGCCTGTGATTGTGTGGATTGTTATTAAACTGAGAAGTTTTTAAGTAAAGGCCAAAACATTGTCTTGTTACATTCTACCCAACTTATTCATTGCAGCCATGGCTCCCAAATACGACGGCTTGTCCCACTGTCAGCTGGCCCTGGCCTTTGCTGTGCTCATGGACCTGCTGGGTGTGGTGTCCCTGCTGCTGGGGGTCTTCGCTCCACTGGAGATCCAAGGCCGGGACTTTGGGGATCTGCTGGTGTACTCCGGAGCTCTGCTGTTACTAATGTCCCTGGCAGGCTGGGTCATGTGGTACAGCGGGAACATTGAGGGTTTGACCTCCAAAAAGGACCTCGGGGGAATTGTCAATGGAGCAATGGACCGCCTCGCCCGCTCCCTGAGCCGCAAGATACGGTTGCCCAGGACTCGCAGCAGCCCGACATAGGAAGTGAGGCCCAGCGACGCCAACTGAAACACCTGACTGTTACACAGAGATCTGTTGTTTGCAAGCCAAACTGCCCGATGCAAAGGAGTGTCGCTGTTGCTTGTCGTCCTCTGTTCCCGCTCCTCTCCTGCGGCTAAAAGCACATGAAGATAAAGTGTTTTTTTGTTTTCATGGGGAAAACTGAGATGTTACTATATTCAGGGTTGTACTGTAACCGTCTCTAATATAGATTCCAATTTTTGAAGATTAAAAAAATGAATCTATTATTTGAACTGTTGTTCATTCAGCTTCTGACCACACTTTTTATTTTGTGCACCAGTTTAAGGCAAAGAAGCATAGAATTAGTTACAACATTGACAAATTCAAGATATTTTAATTACAACAACCATGTTTGCTCAAGTTTAGAGTCAACATATACTCAAGTCTTGATTTATTTTCCAAGAAGCATAAGGAGATCCATTGAATGTACAAACTTGTAATTGCTCATGAATACTGACAAATCCTTCCCCTTATTTAACAGGAGATAGTGAAATAAAATCAAAACAAAAGACATCCCCAGATATTAGGCCAATAAGTGATATTAAAAATAAATATTTATAACAACCACTGAAGCTGTTCATTTAGAAGATGGGATATCGATTATTTTATACAAATTCAAAATGCACTGTTTGCAGTTACATAATATGCAATGTGAAGAACTTGAAAATTAAAAAAACAACACAATCAAAAGAGATGATCCCATATCAGGAGATAATTGTGTCTGATTGTCTGTGCTGTTCGATACACTGAGAGAAGATCAATACCTGTTTCCAATTTGCAGTTCACAACAAAGTATGTACACATACATGTAATTTGTGATCAAAAAGAAAGAAATACCTGGGGCCCCCTTGGAGAAATAAAGATGTCAGGGAAACCGGTATAAGTATTAACAATGACAAAGATGATTACCTGACCAGAAATTCACAATCACACGTATACTTTTATTGCTGCCACATTGAGACGCTCGTTCGTTCAGTTCCATTAAAAGCACCATTGCTGTTTCCAAGTTTGCTGGCGGGCAGCACAACGTCTTTATCTCATTGCAGAAATGACAGGAGGGGGAGCTGCTTGATGTCAGAGGGCCGCGCTGGCTGCGGCGGGGCTGGGGTTCTGCCAGACGATGATGTGACTGCGTTCGGACCGCTGAGGTGTAGTTTGGGACACCTCTGCCGATCCCTCGTTGGCATCGTCTCCTGAAAGGGCGTTGGGCTCTGTTAGGCACTAATAAACAGACCACTGACCGGACAGGAAATAACAGCATATAAATGCATCCGGCAGGTCTTAAACAATTTGAAATAACAATGAAATTTTCCCTTAACTCACCAACGCGTAAGTTGATGTAGCCCTCTCCTGCACTGAGGATGAGCTGAGAGGTAGTGACGTCATTGCTGCCAGGAGGGACGATCAAACAACCTGTTGGGCAAAGACGGACACTTCAGGCAGCGCAATCGGAATCATCTCTCTCTATTAACAAGGTGGTGAAAATATATATAATATATATCAGATTCATACCAGGTGCAGCAATGATGAACCTGACAGCTTGTCTATGTCCATGGTAACACAGCTGGGCTGATGAAATTGAGCAATATGGGATGGAAACATCCTCTGATGCTGCAGAAGGTCATTAGAATAGATTATTTTAGCGTAAAGAGTCGAAGATCTATACCGGTACTTTGAATCTAAATTAAACTTACTTATGGATAATGGGATGGAGAAAATGGCGCCTCCTCCCGTGCCCACCCACAGACGGCTGGAGATGACTGTGAGAGATGAGATCTGGAGAGGTGACAGCGTCAGAAAGGCCGGGCCTACAGAAGGAGACGGAGGCATGTCAGCCGAGCTGCAGGAAAAGTTTACCCTCAAAGTCGTCTGGCAAAACAAAATATATGTTCTTTTTCTTCGGATCAGATAAGGCACGATCATGTAATCAATTATGCGTTCTGTCAAAACAACATTTATATTTGTTTTACTTCATGAGGTGGTCAGTTTGTTTATGACTGAAGCACAACTGCAGAGGATTTTGCACACATTACAAAATCCACAAAGATTATTCAAATTTAAAATATGAAACATACAAAAAATGAAAAGAAATATTTACAAATATCACAGGTGGAAATGTATTTCCTCAATGAGAAAATGAATAACAGGGAACCAAAAGTGAAGTTCTACTGTTGTCGGACTGTCAATATATTATTTTTACATTTGCAATTAATGTGCAATAAATACAAACAAAATACTGTCCCAGCACCTAAAGTTTTAGTGACCAAAGCGGTGAAATCGACTTCCTGAAGCGGCCGTCCTGACGACCAATCGAACAGTCTGAGGATCGGGTCGAGTCGGCAGGACGTCCAGACGCCGCTTCCACCAGCACACAGGAAGCGAACCTGCTGCTCGCTGCGCTCAGAGACCGAGAATGTTTGCTGCCGGGCCAAATACGAAATAACCAGGGTTTAGTTAGACACAATGTGAGCGTGAGACCAAAGCAATATTAGGTGCCGGTTCCTTACCTCGACCTTCCTGCTGACAACATCCACCACGTGGACTTTGTTCCAATATCCCACCCACAGGCGACCTCCTTTAGCCAGGCAGCAGCGAATGGGCTGCAAAGGGTTCGATCCAAGAGGCATCACCGAGTGGGACTGTAGATTCCAGCCACCTGTCAAACGAAGCACTCGTCGATTATTCATTTACACCAGAGGTCTTCAACGTTTTTCAAGCCAAGGTCCCCCAAACTGATGGTGAGGTGGAGCAGGGACCCCTATTCTACGGAGTTTGGTCCGCCATCTTTTATTTTTGAGCTTCACGCTCTTTAGACGCGAGCATAAACGCGATCTGATTGGCTGGTGCCTGCGCTGTCGTATTCGCATGAAAGCAGCAGTGAGTGAACCGGTGCCCAGCTTGAGAGCTGCTGAGGGAAGCGGAGTGTGTGTGTTGCGCACTGACAGATAACATCTTCTCCATCAATTTATCCGTTCGCCTCAATATGTTGGATTCATGTTAATGTGTATTTAAAGACATAAATAAAAGGTTCTGATTCTGATTCTGAAGACATTTACATTTGTGGGGGAAAAAAATGTTTTTAAAAATTGTCTTATCAACCAAAAATTTCGCGACCCCCCCCTGCAGTACCTTCGCTGTTGAAGACCTCTGATTTAGACCAATGAAGAGGTTGTTCGATTCTTCAGCATGAAGAGTAGTAAAAATAAATAAAAACATTACCTGAGCTGTGTGAGAAAAATGCCAAAGTCCCATCTGCTAAACCCGCTATGACTTGATCCTGAGAATATCTGTCACATAGAGACGGTAAAAAACGACCGATTTATTGATGAACATAACTCAAAGTCACATCACGCTACTACTCAACTACGAATGTGCTTCGAACCGAGCGCAGACAGAACTCACTTGAGCGAATGAACTCCTTCCGAGAGAGAAACAGACTGCAGACATTGCCTCCTGCCAGCAGAGGCGGAGTGTACCAGTATACTGTGGGACAAAGACAGTGGGATGAAAAAGGGGATAGGGGGGGGGGGCAGAGTGCTTTTCACAGAGAGAGTTGAAATTTGTTGAAGTGAGCATGTTTGTTCAGCACACACTACCTTCCTTCCTGGGTTCCGATCCACACAGTTCCTGCCGTGTCACCTGACATAACAAGACCAGAAAGGACAGGAAGTAAGCGGGCTATCGGTTCGGTTTAGAGGAAGTGCAGAATTCATTCCATCAGCGGGCAGCGGCTGCAGCGCTTTTGTACTGGCACTGACCTATTGGAGGCACGGCACAGATGCAGAGAGCAGGAGCTGTGGGGGGGAGGCAGAAATGATCCAGCACTGTGTTGGGCAGCGCTGGATCGATCACCGTAATGTCACTGCAGGAGGCCGGGCCCGAAACCACCCACACAGAACACTGGCAGAGAAGGACAGATGGTTTGGAAAGTGTTACTTGTGCTTGGATGGCATCGGTCACGGCGATTACAGAACGACCACAGTTGTTACTCGACCGGTTTGATGACGGACTTACTGTGGCCTCTCCGGAGATCTCAGGCGTGACTGCAACCGCGCAGTTCAGCTGAAGAGAGAAACACGCGAGGGCCAAAACTTTAAAATGGTTCCTAGGTTGTTGAGTTGCAGCGATCAGCAGTGAAAAGGTCTACCTTTGCTGTGGAGTCTCTCTGATCCAGCAGTCTGAGCTGCATCAGTACAGGCACGTCCTTAGGCTCCGGCACAGGTTCATGGTATTCCTACAATGACAGTTAACCACCACAATTGGGTTAGGATTTTGTGTTGGTATGTTAAACGCTCTTTAATAAGAAGGCATGATTTTTTTTGCCATTGGTTTTGTTCAAATGAATGATGCACGGTAACACAAATGCATAAGAGCTTTTTGTGTTCTCATAATGCTGCATTACCTGCGTGCTGGCAAGCGGCGTGCTCCAGCCGTGCATCTGCCGTTTTCCGAGCGATCCCCAAATGTGGGAGCGAATTTCTCTGTAGAGTTCTCGCCTCCTGACACGAGGAGAGAGAGCAGCAGGGGAAGCGTATCTAGACAGAAAGGCTCCCGCTCTTAATCAGCTCGACCAGGCGTGTGTGAGGAGGACTTTTTGGTCGAACACAATGACGTAAACACAACAGCGGAACGCCAGAGCGGCGCGATCCTAAACGTGAGCTTACTCGGCGGGAGTTTGAGTGACAGCCGGTGGTTGTGGAGACGCCAGAGTAGAGCGAGCGAGGGACGGAGAAGTCGACCGGGCGAATGCAGAAGCATGAGGTGGGATTAGAGGCACCTTGGACAGCCCGAACAAGCGGTTGAACCTTTAACAGGAAAAAAACATATATATTAAATGTCTGACACCAAATACCTTTAGAGAAAGGATCAGTATGAATCCAAAAACAGCGTAGATTCTTCCCTGTCAACCATGTGTTGCTTGTTTACCGTTTCCAACCTTTACAATGCTCAAGATTGAGCATACTAAATTAATTCTAAGTAATTTAACTTCTAAAGCAGTTAAATTACTTTTAGCCAATTAACCCTGAGCTACATTGCGACTGGTTTTGTGATATATGTCAATGTATTTGTTAACTTCAGGTTACATGATGAACAGAAGGAAAAAGAATCAGTATCTTATTTCTTATGGTGTGGTTTTATTATTCTGCAATAATAAAATGTCAGTATCACAAAGAGGTTTTTACGGCACGCTTCATCCTGTCACACAGTAACAGAGAGATATTCCTCAGCCGCTCCTCTGGCCACCTCAAGTGTGTCATGAGGGTGTAAACTTCACTGCTGATTTAATGGGGAATAGGATGGGTGTACAGTATCAGGTCAAATCATACCAAAAACACTTACTTTCTCCAAACACTTGACCGTTTGTCCTCCGTTAACTTCTCATCCTTCGTTGCTCTAAAAAAGAAAAATGAGCGAAAAAAATGCTAAATCAGCGTTAAAAAAAAAAAAAGTTTTATTTTCTACCAATTGTTCTATTGGAACTGACGTATCCATTACAAAAACAAAAATACAACCATGTTGATTCAGGAATACAACTACCTGAGTGTCTGACTACGTCTCACAGCTTCCTGCAGCTCAAACAGACGCTGCTTGTATTGGTTCTTCTCCATCACCACACGGGCCATTTCAGAGCGAGAGAAGTGCCGCATGGATGTAGGCAGAGAGGCCTGAATGCAGAGATTTATGCTATTTAATGGGGTGTACGCCATAAAAAATAACCTTCAATAAAATAATTGCTGAATGAAACAGTAGATCGTAATATGACTTACATCAGGGTCCTCAGACTGGCACTCTTCCAGTTCTTTCCGAAGTCTAGAAATATAGTGGACATAAAAAAAAAAGAGTTATTTGAAAGAATAAAGTATTACAAAATATTTTGACCAAGAGGTTAAAGCATGAGCAGACGTTAAATCTTTCTACACCTCTTAGTTTCCTCCTCCTTCTCCTTCACCCGCCCCTCTAATCGCGACGCGGTTTCCTGAAGGGAGGTCACCTCCAGTTTAAGAGCCGAGCGGTCATCAGTGAGCTCGACCACCCGAGAGATCAGAGCCTTGCGGGCGGCGTCTGCCGACTCGCTGGAGGAGCAGAAACAGAGCACGTTGAAAGATGAGCAATTCGAGACCGCGGGGAACAACAGCACGGGTAAAGAGACAAAACAGTTCCAAAAATAGTGAGCGTAACGTCTATTTACTAAAAACAGGTTGTATTGAAGAAAAAGAAAGTCCCCTTGATCACTGGACCAGTCGAGGCAAGATTGGGGAGATTAAATATAGCACTTACTGGGTGACTTTCAGTTCCTCATACTGAGAAATAATCTCCTCGAACTGGTCGGTACTGCCTACACAGAAAAAAGGGACACACGGGTGATTATTGGGGACAATAAGTTTTCATTTACAACAAAGAAGAATATGAGGAAGTAATGCCTTATTAAACCTGCAGCGGGATAATGTTTTCATTGTGCTCTACTTGCATTTCTGGTTAGTAGCTGCAGAGCAGAACACAGCCGTGAACTGACCTCTGACGCTGGCCCCTCGGTCCACACTCTCCACGTAGTCCACACTCAGGTCTGACAGCTCCGAGAACACAGAGTCATTGTTGCGCAACTCGCACTCCAAACTATCGTCTTCCTCCACCTCCTCTTCTTCTTTATCCGGCCTCTCTGCTCCTTGCACCTCTCCTGCTTTGCAACCACTCTCCTCCACCTCCCTTATCTCGTCCTCCACGCTGTTCTCCGACTTATCTGGCGGTGGCTTTTTGGTGTTCGATCTAACGGGGCTGCGGATGAAGACGAGAGTGAAAGAGTGAGAAATGTAGGAAAAACAAACGTGGGAACCGCTAAAGTGAATTACGGTACAGTTAACAGATACACGTCTGTTTCACTGGAATTGTTTCAGATTATTACCTTGCAAAGACACCGCCATGAAATGGCCTGAGCTCAGGAGTGGAGCTTATGATGTCATTGATAAACGTATCTGCGACGGGCTTTGCTGCAATGTCAATCGCCTTTTCTTCCTTGGCTACTAAATCTTCCAAACAGGGAGGACCAGACTGTGAGTGTGGCCTCTGCATCATCTGCAACGAAACGAGGTAAACAAAAACTACTTCCTGCCAAGATCTTAATCTTTAAAATATAGTTGTACGTGGAGGGTCAGAAAATGTTTACCTTTTCATTCACACTGGATTCTGACAAGACTTGGCCGGACGGAAAATGATTATTCTTGAGAATCACATGATTCCTGAACGCAGCATGCAGTGTGACACAAAAAAGAAAGCGCATGTGAATTAACAAAATACCTTTGAGCTACTTTGTTACAATTTGCACATCGACTTGCAGCAATGTTGAGATGTTATTACTGAATTATAGACTGATCTCTAACACCCACAAGCTGGTATCTTATTTTGAAAATTCACACTAAAAAAACATATTTCTTGTACTTAATGCTCAAAGATCTCATTTGATGACATATATGTAAAGCCTTTCTTTGTGACACTTTTCTACAATATAGTACTGCTGAAAAAGAACAACCTTAAAGGAGAATCTCTTTCAGAATCCTTTCTCTTTTTCAAAAGTTCCCAATACGTGTGAGCCAGCTGAGGAAGAGAACATCAGCGAAGTGTGAGAAAGACAGAAAGGACCATATTTTGTTAAAGAAGTCGCTGCGTGGTGTGTATCTGACCTTGTTGTGAGTATGCCTCAGAGTGCTCAGTTCTCTGCTCAGATTGGCCTTCTGGTCCTCCAAGGCCCCCACTGCGAGAAGGAGAAACAGCACATGAATGACCCAGCCAGCTTTTAAAATGCAATGTGTAATACTACTAATACTAGTAACGCTCACTATGATCGGCTTGCTCTCTCGCCTTCTTCTCCAGCTCTCTCCCTCGCCGCTCTCTCTCCTTTTCCCTCCCCCTCATGGCTCTCCTCTCTTGATCAATTTGGTCATCCAGCTCCAGGTACCTCTAAAACAAGACACAGTGCTTTCACAGCTCCGAACCTAAAACACCACAGTACGTCCGCCCTTCCCCTCGGTCCCCACCTCCTGACTCTCCTTCCGGAGGGCTTTCTCCGCTTGGTATCTCTCCAGCAGCTCTTCCCGCTCAGCTGTCTCTCTCTCCGCCTCCTCCTCCCGCTCTCTCAGCCGGGCTTTGCAGCTGGCCAGCCCCTCCAGGACCCACACGAAGATGGGCACCAGCGACTCCACCACACCTTCACCGTGGGTCTCGATGACGGTCTGTGGAGCGGGGCGAAGCAGCGCAGTTGGACACGATTGAGAAAAGCATGCTCTGTTGTTGTTGTTGTTGTTTTGTTTTTCTGCTTGAAACGTAACTGGAAAGGTGCCGGAGTTACCTGTAGCTCGGAGTACAGCTTTCCTGCTTCTTCACTCACAATGTTGGGGTCCAGCTCGGCCTCCCCTGTGCCACAGAGCACGCGCTCAGTGTACTCCATCAGGAAAGGGTTCTCTGCCTGACGTACGGAGGGTCAAAGCGGTTTCCTCGACTCAACTCCAGGGTTAATTCATTTTCAGCTTCTGAAGCCAATTCTGTTGATCGCTTGACTGTCGTTCCTCACCAACTACTGCGACTCAGTGCATCTGGCGTTCTAACGCGTCCGCTAACACCAGCACCACCCGTCCTTCACAGCCGTACGCTCCATATGTCCTTCACGCGGGCAGCATCATCTCCGACTGCATCAAGGTGGTCGTTACTGTAGTGTGACGTTTATCTGATCCGTCAGGGTCAATTCAGAGGCCGTCCTGGAGGATAAAAGAAGAAAATATAATTAGATGTGATGATAACTAACTGTGGTTTAAACTGCTACGAGCCAGTCAACTGTTTTATGCGATATGCAAGCTCAGGCATGCATTTTTTGAAATTTTCTTCCTCATTAATTACCAGGAACTCATAATAGTACTAATAGTAGAACGTGGCCGTGAGCTTTTCTGCTCCCGCAATCTGTGACTAATGTCCTTCGTGGAACAGCGAACAAAGCACCGTCTCTGTGAGGATGGAATTGAAATGAAAACGGACGGTTTTACATTAGAAAGGACATTAGATTACGATCAGTAAACCTGTGCGTGTTCGTGTTTGCGTACACACTTTTTTTGATCGTTTTCCTTAAAATCCCCGTTTTCAAAAGGCGCACACTAGTTAGTTGTGTGTGTTTACATCAGTTGGATATATTGTCATTCCTTCCTCCTCTTAGTTGTGAAAATCTCCTCCTGTATTGTTGTCATCTGTGATTGTAAACAGTTTGTGCATTATGTTTGTCAGTTTTCAAGTAGTATATAAGTACATATATAAGTATGTATGTGTGTGTGTATGTATGTGTACACATGTGTACACATACATGCTAAATCACACCTGCGTATTCTGTATTGACTATGTTAGGATTTAAATGACGCAATCAACATTTTGTTCACACAATATTTGAAGGAAACGTACGTTTTGACTTGAAAACACACATGACCGAACTTACCTTGATCCGTCGTTTTGAGTTTTACTCACACGTAGTAGTTTGTAGCTTGGTTAACAGACTGGTCGAGTAACGTTTGAATAAAGAGAGACAAACCGAACGACTGCTTGTGGTTTTGTGTCTCAGGGGATATTGAATGAAACGTCAACGTAAGTTGGCGTAGAAGCCCACAAACGAGTCGTGTGCGTCGATAATTGCGGGGAAGCTAAGCAGAAGATGGACGTGAAGGAAAGGCTGGAGGTGACAAACTGTATGAATAAGTAAACATGACTGACAGACGATATCTCGGCAGGTCCTCTGTAACTTGACCGAAGAACAAGCCGAGACGTCTCGCCGTTCGGCCGCTCACTCACCTCAACGACGGCCTGCTCCCTAACTTCCATTTAAAACGCTGATATTCCAGCTGTTATTTTCTCCGCCCTCGGAGACGATATCGATTACACGTAAACGAGTTTAAAGAGCGGTCGTCGTCGTCGTCGGAGTCCCGACGCGCGGCAACGAGTCGCCAATCCGGCCAATCGGAGCGCGGCGTCTGACGGCCGTAACCAGTAGTCGGGCAGAAGAGGCGGGACTTGCTCGGTTTGGTTTTCAGAAGGAGGAAAAAAAGTTTCCTGAAACTTGAACGATGACACGTGACCGAGTAGGTTGCGGCGGGCTGTCAGGTGACCGGGTTATAATGCAGTCTGAGCCGGTTACCTGTCCTCATACTTCACACAACTTAGAAGTCACCTCGTTTATTCTCCCGTGTCGTTGTGCTATCAGAAAGTCAACAAGGGTCGCGTTGTAAACAGGTGAAGCCATTCAGGTGTGATGTTGAAAGGCAAAGGAAGCAATCGAGCAATCGATTTGCTTTTATAGTGGCATGCCTTTTCTCTTTATTTTCGTATGAAATGTATTCACGGTGAGAACAGCTGGGTGTGAAGTAAGTTAGTGTTTCATGCAGTGAGTGACAGCAGACACCAACACGAAGGCCCGCAGTAAATCACAGAGGAATGCCGCTTGATAAAGTCACAGTTACAGTTCGTCTTAAGTCCAGCAGATGGAGATACCACATTTCCCACCTCTCCCATCTTCTCCTTCTTTCTTCTTTTACATCCATGCTCGATCTGCTCTTAGTGGTCATTTAAGACACAATCCTGTCCTGCTTTTCCTGCATGACGCCCACCCTGCATTTTATTAGAGTTTCATAACATAATGCATCTTCCACATCAACCGTGACAGTTGTTTATACTAACGCTCTCAATAATATGTCTTCTGATATTCAGTTTGTGACTTAAAAAATAAAGAAAACAACAAAAGTACCCCCAAAAAAGTCAGGTTCATGACTAGAGCAGAGACGCATAAAGAGGCCTTGGAATTAAAAAACGCTGGTATAATACTTTTGTGTTGAGTATTAGTCTTGTGTATTACCTCTCCTTTCAAAATGTCTGGCCCTCTGTTTTCAATCTCACAATTTAGCCTCCTCTCCCATCCGTCGATCAAAATTCAGCCGAGCCGCAGCACAATATACAGTCTCTTGTTCAAAGGTCTTAAAAAGGCTCCAACGTGGCTGCACCTTTGTCATACAATACATTCACTGCATGGTTTGTCTACCGGGTTCAGGTACAACAAAATAAAATACATGCGTCATGAGCACAAACTGTAAGCAGTGGTAGAAAGGTTACTACAAAATACCTCTTTAAAAGTAGCGATGCCTAAATATGAAAAACACAAGTTATTGTCCTGTGTTCATTATTTTAATAAGGTAGATGTAAACCAAAGTAGAAATGAATAAAAGTTTCTTCTCTCAGAGTATTAACTTCTTTATATGCTGCTCGGTGGTTCATCCATATATCTCAATGCAACAAATCATACACAACAAAACATGCAAACTGCTAATGTTTTTTGTAAAATCTCTATAATCAAAGGAAATAGTACGTCAATGATCTTGATATGAAGGAATGTGTTATGCTTTCATGGAGAGGAAAGTAGCAGTTGTTACTGAGATTGAAAGATAGGGAGCAGCAGTGAATGTTGAAAGAGATCTCAATGTTTCTTCTCTGCCCATCCTGACTGTGCTGTTTACAGAACAGTCTTTTTATTTGATGCAGACTCTACCCAGTGTGATAGTTGTCCTTCACACTGTGACTTTTTTAATTACCCTCCCACTCTCTACAAGAACTTCTTTTCCGTCCTCTCTCCGCCGTCTGGACATCTCTCTCTTCCTCTTCGTCAGGAGGTGAAACGCCACCACACTTCCCACCACCACAAAACTTGTGCTCAGAATCACGAATCCCAGTCCAAGTAAGTGAGAGGTTCCTCCTTCGGACCGGCCCAGTTGGTCCCACAGCCCCACAGCTATACAACTGAAGGCGATGAGGGTTCCCCAAAAACCAAAAGCCAGCAAACAGGATCCACAAGAAAGCTCAACGCCCCCAGTCACCACGGCAACGCCCGCCACCGAGACGATCCCTCCTGGTAAGGTCACTGTTTCAGATTTGGTGTCGTAGGCGACAGTGGATGCGACATCTGATAGAGTTGAAGGGTCGAGAGTTTCCATCTTGGTTGTCATGGTTGCTTTTGTATTCAAATGGTCAAAAGTGATCTGTCTTGCAGCGTCTTCTTCTTCCGTCTTGCCGCCTAAAACGTGACACATAGTTCTGATTAAAAAAAACCATAACACCCAGTTTCCCCGTTTTATATCCACTTATGTAACTTAAAAATTGGAAAGAAATCTCATCCCTTGTTCAAACTTCTCAGTTAAGCTTTTTCAGGAGTGAAATATTCAACGTTATTTTATTTACCATTTAGTTTAAGCTGCCATATATATTTAGTATTTTTAGGAACTTTGTAGGGGCTCCAAAACTATTTTAAATAAAGGTCTGTGAGTGTGAACAATGTCTACAGCATAACTATGTGAAGACTCACTAGTTACTCACTGGTTGGCCTGGTTTTAAAAAATATAGAAGAAAAAAGCATTTTAATCATTTCTCATTAAAATACAGCTAAAAGTCTTTTTTTCTCTTGGCCAACAAAGATCAAAGCCGGCATGTTAAATCTAATGCCGTCATTTCAGTAACTGCAATAAGCTTTATTTATACCCAATGGACTATCACAGGTCTACAATTGAATACATCAGAAGAACATCAGTTTCCCAAAATTCATATCTTCACTTTTTCGAAACGTTGACGTGTATTTCTTTTAAAAAGTTCGACATCACTTACCTCGGTGATGAATCGGGACCTCAGATGTCCGTGTTACGATCCCTTGAATTCATAGATTAGTTTTTTCCAGGTACGTGAGGGTTTTACTGAAAGCTTTAAAGTGCTGCTGACGTCCTCCGTGGACAATAAGTGTAGAAATGTGAGCAGGGGCCCCAAGCGCTGTTACCGTTATCATACACGTCACAACCTGAGGCCTCACGAGATGCTGGACCCAAATGTCGAGATTGTTGTCACTGTTTGTTTGTTCCTCTCTTCCCGTGTGTTCAGTAGGAAGCTCTTGTCCGTCATTTACCATCATTATAACCCATTACCAGATATTTATCTAGGAACAACTCCCTTCCTCTTTTTCTCTTTCTTTCAGTCTTAAGAGCCGAGTCGCGGCATTGTTCGGCCCCCGAGAGTGTATTTTTCTTTTTCTTGTTTTTCCTGCTCAGTCATGTTACTTGCGTGTTTGCATTTCTCACGTCACTTGTGGCAGGGTGCGTATTATTTATTCAATCGGTAACATTTTATTTGTAAAAACCTCCTGACTTTGAAACTCGACGTTCAATTTTCAACAACGAGCCAATCTTGAAATGTTGCAACAACAAAAAAAATGTGTCTGCTTGAATCTTTTCCCAAGTGCAAAGCCAAGCGAATGAGCGGGACATGCAGGCACTGGGTGGGGAAGCTCTACAGTGTGTCAGTGCTGACGTGGAGCTGGCTGCCGCGGCCATGTGGTCACACAGGTGAAGCGTGATATCGCCAGTTAATTGGCTTTAATGCTGTCCAGCCAGCTGGGATGCTGCCTAATTGACACTGGCCTAATTGCAGATATTTCTAGATGTGCTGACTTTTACTATCAGTAAACCGCTTTTTTTACCTGTATAATATTTCACTGCCTGCAAAGTAAATATAAATTATTTCCATTGTTAAAATTGAATAGCTGTTATTCATAATTTGTCCCTTTTGTATCAAGTGTTAGTATTGCTAAGTGAAATTGGACTTGTTTTATTATTATTAGTCCTTACATCCTATAGTTTGTGGTTGGACATTAATATTATATAAATAAGCCTTTCACCACAAGCAGAAAAACAATTGTGGCTACAAATCTTTGCTTTTCTCTAGTAATTAATTTAGGCAACGGTCAGCAAGATACTTGTGAAGAGGAGGGATGAGTAATTCCATTGTCAATAGCATTCAAAGGATGGTGATGATGATGGTAATTGGCTAAATGGTGGATTGGAAGGCAGGGGACAGGTCGAGTAATCCAATAGTCGGACTAACTGAGCATTCCTACGGCCCAAAGAAAATCCTGCTGCAAAGACAGGACACGGATGAAAATCATCATACAGTGTGACAAACATCACATTTGACCAGGAGGGGCGACTGAAGATGCGCCGGCATGCTTTCATCAATCTCGTCATGGGCAACTTTGTAACACGCAAACACTGCCAAGTAAGTAAGAAACAACAGTAAAGACAATCAAGATGATACTTTCAGTCTCATCGCAGACTCAAACAAAACGGGTTTGAGATTTAAATGTGTCGTCCAATGTGAGTTTGACGTTCAAACTAACCGTCCAGTGTGATGGCTGTCGACAGAAGACAGATGGAGATGATGCAGAGAAACCCCCAAAGCACTGGGCCTGGGGGTACGAGGGACTGGTTGGAAAAAGTCAAACCAGTCAAAGCAAGGAGGGTGTTTGTTGTCAGTGCGTTGAACAGGACGGCCTTGGTGCACGGGACAATACTTTGTGTATGAAAAAGTCAAGCTCAGGACCAAGGAAGGCGGACAATATGAGGAATTTGGCAGAGCAACAACAAAAACACTAACTAAGGAGAGACGGGCGGAGGTTTTAAACACTCGGCTCAGTAAAACAAACCCAGCCCAGCAGCTCAAACAGGATGGGAAGGAGGCCACGTACTGGGAAGGCCGGGCAGGAGGTGGGATTGGAGGTGGAAGGGTTAAACTGCCCGGACAGATGGCAGTCTGGAATTAAATGTCAGGGGTCAACTAAACCCCTTGAAAAGGCCACTGCTGAAATATCAGACATGCTACAGAAGAACTTAAACTGGTGCTACGTTAACAGGGATCCCCACAAATTGTCCCTCATGTATTAGTCAGTGTCTCCCATGTCAAATGTTTCCCATGTATTAATCGGTGGATAAAGTGATGAAAAGGTTCTAGGATTCTGTGGCAACAAACTTTGCCAATTTCACGATGTAGTTCTAAAAAAAAAAAAAAGGGTTCCGGAGAAATGCACCGATCGTCTGTTGACAGATCAGTTTTGGGCTTTTGTAAGACACACACACTAACAGAACACATAACTCATAATTCTCTCTGTTTGTAAAGGTAATGATAGAGGAATTATCTCTGCAGTGTCACATGCTGTAGATCTTTCTGGACTTCCAGAACCGAGAGAGAAAAGTAGGATGCAGGGGTTCATTTTAGTCGAGGGCTCAGCGACCTTAAATCCCGCATTAACAGAATTAACCCACTGGGATTGTGTTTCCCCCCCTGCCCTCCTTATCTCTCGCCTTTTGAGACGCATACTCAATGCTGCAGCCATCATTTACTCACACAACACACAGGTAAAGCTTCTCCTACACACACACACATACATGCTGACGATGTGATTTCTTTCTTTCTTTCTTTCATAGTAATGGATTCAGGATTTCATCCGTGTACCACATGTGTAGATAATCTTATTCTGGGTTTGACAGGAAAGGCGCAGCCGGCAAAGAAATCTTTCCAACAAAGGAGACGTGTAGGTGGCAAAGGACAAGAACAACTCGAGGTGGCAAGTATTTACAGTTTGTCAGAACTGACAGATAACCCCTGAGACCCTGCAAGCTCCTCACCATGGGAAATACCACCAGCAGCGCCATATCCAAGGAGATCCTGGAGGACCTCAAGCTCAGCACCAAATTCACTGAAACTGAGATCTCGCTGTGGTACGAGAACTTTCAGAAGCAGTGCCCGACGGGACGGATAACACCGGAAGAGTTTGAGCAGATCTACAGCCGCTTCTTCCCCGACAGCGACGCCAAGACCTACGCGCGCCACGTGTTTCGTTCCTTCGACACCAACGACGACGGCACTCTGGACTTCAAGGAGTACATCATCGCGCTGCACATGACGTCCACCGGGAAGACGACGCGGAAGCTGGAGTGGGCCTTCTCTCTGTTCGACGTGGACAAGAACGGGTACATCAACAAGACAGAAGTGACGGAGATCTGCCAGGTGAACGGAGCCACGTGTGAGAGAAGCGTGACAGAATTAGAGCCGTTAAACGTGGTTGAAGTGTGACGATGGGAATTGAAGTTGAATTGAAGTTGTTCTGTTGCTCGTTGTCCTCGGGGGAAATGTTTTATTTGAGGTTGGACAGACAAAGTAAGAGGATTACACGACCTCATGCAATCCAAAGGCATTGTAGTTCATACAACGTTTGTTTTAGGTCTAAAATGTCCAATGTTCTTTTGAATTGCTCTATTAGTGTAGTGTTGATTCTACTCTATTGTGATTTTCAGAATAGTCACAGTGGATTATTGTTGGGCCACCTCATATTGTCATTTCCCCACTCTGCTTTAGGTCCATGTCAAATGAGTTGCTTTTTATTGAAAAGTAGGTCTGGGGAATAATTGCCAGTCCAATTAGCTAGTCTATTTGAGCCTAAAACCCATGATAATCTCTGTGATTACAGGGTTAACTCTCAGATAATGTAGGCAGTCCTGCTCTTAAGCAAGACTCTGTTTGCATTGCTCCGTTTCTATAAGGGGAGCGCTCATCAGCCCTCAGTCTAATCCACGTCTCTTGCATTCACGAGGTTGCATCTTTTGACTTCAACGTTCTTTTCAAAACTCGGTCAGACAGAGGTTTTTTTACGGCGCTTTGAAGGCAAATGATGTCGCATTGTTTGGGGTTTTCACAGATCAGCTGTCCATCCAGCTGGCATTGTAATGGGATTTAATTCCTGGCCAACTAGCCTGAGTTCATGTGCACCACGTTTACAACTATTGAACAACATAGACTACTACAGCAGAATTAGACTGTGGAGAAGTAGTCAATAAACGGCATCATTATTACAGAACAAGAATCAGGAGACTGTGCAGTCATTTTTGGATTTAAAATGGTAAACAAGTGAGGAATGCAGGACTAGCCAATAGTTAAGTGTAGTGTAGCTACATATAATATGATAGTTGGACTAGTAAGACTAGTTAATCGTGGGTGTAAATGCTGTGTATCTTTGAGTAAATCCACATATACGTGTGACTGCTTGATGTAGCTCTGTTTTAAATATGAATACGTTAGTAAAATAAGTTGGATAAATCCTTCCTGTATATGTGTGAACCACATAGGCAACGCGATCAGAGGGGCCAGACGCCGGGATAGTTCAGGCAGAAAAGAGAGGACATCTTGATGTTTGGCCTGTGGCCCGAGTCTTGGCACTAATCCATGTTAATCTAGGTGTCTTAAATGTGGGAGATGAGTGCTTCCTTCTCTAAGTGGGACGCACATTTAAAGGCCGAAACTCAAAGTGCACAATCATTTAGCGATTTACAATCTGCCGGTTTTCTAAGTGGCATATTCCACATTCATTACCTCTGAGAAATGACACACATGGTTGAATGCGGAGCCGGCGGCGGCCTGATTATTAATTCAATCACTTTTAACTTGTAGCGTCTCTATTATAATTGTGATGGCTGAAACCCTGCAGGATTGCTCTCTTAGCTGCATTTGGGAGGCAGATCAGCGGCCATCTGTGGATCTTAAGCCACATTTTATGTAAGATTTAATTGCAGGCTACTTGAATTGGTTGCATTCAGACAGGTTTTAAAGAGTATACAATGACTTGTGACAGTAATCAGGGACAAGACATAAAAAAAGGCGTTGGCCTGTAGCTTTTCTCTAAATGTCAAGTTGTTTTGCATCAGACGCTCTATAAACCACAGAACACTGATTAACACTACGGCCTGCACGCTTCTTGCCTTCTGCACATTTGCTCTGTGTGAGGTTCCCTGTTGTTGACACTTGTTGTGCGTTGTTTGTGCGAGAGGAACGATGTAGCATCAGCAGCGATCTTATACCCCCCCCCCCCCCTCTCTCTCTCTCTCTTTCTCTCTCAGGCCATATTTAAGCTGATCCCCAAGGAGGAGCAGAGCAAGCTACCGGAGGACGAGAACACACCCGAGAAAAGAGCCAACAAACTGTGGGCCTACTTCGAAAAGAAAGACAACGGTAAAGGAAATAAGCCGAGCACGTCCATACATTGTGCTCCAGCCGTGACGGTCACTGTGTTCATATCACTGCGTGCTTATGTGAAATCAGTGTAAGCTCTCTCTAACTTTCCTCAACAGCTGTTCTTACATTCTGAAGTGAAGATTACATTTTACAGCTTTTTGGCTTAACAATAAAACGACCAATAAATCCACCTGGGGGAGCAGCATCACGTGTGTCACGCGTGTTATGTATGGAGCGGCCGTGTGTGTTTAGGGATGGCACCGCTATTCATGCTGCCCTCGTTCACACAAGCACAACCGAAATAAATTAACCAGCTTCATCTTTACCTCACACCTCTTACTGGATATATGTTGATTACTGTTTTTCTTTTCCCCCACAGGGCGACTGGCTGAAGGCGAGTTCATCAAAGGAGTGACTGAAAATGAGAATGCGATGCGTCTTATCCACTACGAACCGATTGCAGAGTAAAGTCATCCCGACTTTGCCGACTGTCATTATATCCTTCCAACGGTCTTCCTCTCCCATCCACTCTGATCCGCTCAACCCCTTTGCTGTAAATACTCTTTTCTGCAGTGTCGTTTATTATGGCGTAGTGTTTAAAACGTGTGTACAGATAAACAGATGATTTACGGTGACTATCATTGGTACAAAGAAAACGTTAATTGATAATCCTTAAAATGGATTGAGTTTGATATTGGCTTGGGGGAAATTAATGTTAGACAACTATGATTGATGACAGTATCGTACTTGATTGTTAGGTTGTTCTTTTTTTTTACAGGACTGGAAATGTCTTAATAGGTTGTAGTTCTTAAGGGATATTTACTGTATTTACTGATATTTACTGTATATTTACTGTAAAATCGATTAAAGGTTTTCTCATAAGTCTGTTTGTCTCTATCCCAGATATCAATTAATTGTATAATATAACACAAACAAAAATAAAATCCAGCAGTATCCTGTAAAACATATTAGATACATTTTGGCACACTTTTCTTTAACAATATTGCCTGTATAACTTTATTTTTAACACAGAAAATACTTGTTATATTCAGTTTAAAACAATTATTTCCTGAAATGTGTCACGGTGCAGTGTTTGTGTGCGTGTGTGTGCGCGCGCCTGCGTTTCTTTCCAACTTTCAGTCTGACCCCACCCAACCCCCTCACCCACCCTCCCCCCTCCATTCCTTCTCTCCTCACTCTATTCCCCCTTCTTTCCATCCAACTCGGGATTACTGGTTTACACATAATCTTCTGTTCAACATCAGAGAGCAGACTTTTCAAAATCTCTATAATCTTTCTTTCACTGTGTGTCTATCGTATGGGTTTGTGTGTGTGCATTTGCAGAGAGACTGTGGTAAACATGCATCGCAGCAAAAGTTGGTCACAAGTGAGAGAAAAGCTTGAGAAAGGAAGAACGCTGAGAACATGTTGTATATTTAGTCTCAAGGACCGGCTCATGAGAAGAAACATCAACCCCGTCTAAGCAGTGAAAAGAACAGCATCCTTTCATGTTGATGTATAAACAATAAAATAATTTAAACATGTATTTGCTTTTATATATAGAGACCCACATTTACTAGCATGAGGCACTGCGAAATACCCAGAAAATACACGGCCTCGCATGTCGGTGTGACACATTTATATATTGTAGTCTTTGCCATTTTTTCTGTGCATTGATTCGATCAGCAAACTTCACAGAAAGTCAAAGCGAACGATGCTCACGTTGATCTGCCCTCGGCACGGTGACAGCGTCTTTCCTCTTTTCAGTCATTCGGGCCTTTTGAGTTGCAGGTTAGAAAAACATCGTTGCTAGCAAGGTGAATCCACTCTGTCCATGGCGTCGTCCATCTCATCCATCTCTCTCTCGCAGTCTTCGCACCCCTCCGGGCCACAGCCCCCCACCAAAACCAGCGTCGGCACGTCCCCGTTCCCCACTTCGACCACACTGCCGTTCGGGGCCCAGGCACCGTCGATCATGCCGTCGGGACACTGCAGCAGGCCGCTGACGGAGTAGAGCCATCTCCCGGGACGACCTCGTCGTAGGTAGGAGCGTGAGCGGCGGCCCTCGCTTCCCTCCAAGCGGAGCCTTTGTTTGCGACGGAGCTCGATGATGGTCTTTGGTGTAGGAGTTGAGCGTGACCCACGGCCGCCCCCATGCAGCAACTGAAGGACACCCAGGCAAGACTGGGACAATGGAATAAAAGAGTTTGTGAGTACAAACCAAGGACATACTGTGACAAATAACAGTCTCGTATGCTGTGCAGGAAGAGCTGCCGCCTACGCAAAAGACCAGCCGTAGTCCCAGGTCTGAGGCCTCCAGTCTTTGGGGCCCACGATGACTGTCATCTGAAACACGGTGGTGAACATCATGTGGGCCACCATCCCGAGAAGACCTGTGTGTGGGAGGGGTGGGGGGGGACCAAAACCAGACAGGAAAAAAAGAAAGATCAACATGCAAATGATAGAATTATATTTGGAGGAGGTTGTTGTAAGTTGTTGTAAGGATCCGCGGTGCCTCACCTGATAACACGGTGCAGATCGCTGCGTAGGCATTAATTTTAAGGGAGTGCATCTCTTTCTTGGAACACAAGACTTCCAGCCACATCAGCAAGAAACCCATCCCCAGCAGACCGATGTACGTAAACTCTGAGATAACCCGAGAGCCAGAGCACACCTACAACAACAACAAACAAACAAACAACAATCTAAATGGACACACACACAAATCCATAAAATGTTTTTTTTCATAATAACATAATAAACCAGCCGATCAGCACAACTCACCCTGAGTTTCTCCAGGAGTTAACTCAATAAAGCTCCGACATTTCTCCCCTGCCAACCAAAAGCACAGTGGTGTGGTTATGACATTGTTGTGTGAGTGTGCCAGTCTGTGCGTGTTTGGACGTGTGCATCTCCGCGGCCTCACCGTCGTTGTGTTTCTCACAGCTTTCCCAGAAACCCGTGTGGAAGTATCTAAAAGCAAACTTGTCTTCTCCCGTCTCCCAGATGTACTGGACCGCGTTGGCCAGCTGCCTCTGTCTGATCTTGGCCAGCTCGTCCCTCCTGGCTGGAGACAGCGTGCGGTTGAAGGGGTTCTGGGTGGGACTCTCTGCGCGGGAGGGGAGGACAATGAGGAGAGCGTCTTTTTCCGCTCTTATTGATAATAGAGTTGGTGGCAGGAGAAGAACCTGAGCTCCTTAGCATCATGATTCTCCAAACCAAACCAGACCTGCGCTCTCAATATCATTACACATTAAACCAAACCAGGAACTTCTTCCTACCAGCATCCAGAGAGGATGAGCTTAAGTAAGAGAGACAGAACCAGTCAGCGTTAATCACCACCCCTGTTCTCAGAGGTAACATGTCTCTGTGCTTTTCGGGCTCGCCAGCTGGCACCTCGTAATCCTGTGTGTGTGTGTGTGTGTGTGTGTGTGTGTGTGTGTGTGTGTGTGTTTGTGTGTTTCGGACCTCGTGTCCAGAAGCATACGGGAGACTTCAATCCACCAATGTAAAGGTGGATCTGGTAAAACCAGTACATGCAGTAATGAAAGACGATTCCTCCATGCAGTGAGAGATGTTAATCCCATTGTGGATTAAGCGTATATCTGTTGAGGGAATAAAAGCCAGGCAGCCGGCCCTGTGCGAATAATCGTATGGGATCTACCCTCACACCCTGCAGATTAATGGCAAACTATAATTAAGTTCACTGTGGGACCAAGGTATGTTCAGAAAGAGATTAAAAAAACACCAAAGCAAGGACAATGGGTTCCTCACAAGCCTCTGAGTTCATCCATTTAGATTAGTTTGAGGCATTGGCTCTTGTGCAGAGACACATTACAACGAACACCAAATCCAATACTGCGGTAATCAGGTTCGACGGTCAAGGCCACAATTTTTCCAGAAAGTCAAAGTCTGAGAAATGCAATCTATATTCTTTGCACATATTGGAAGACTTAAGAGATGACACACATTGAGAAACTGACCACATTCCACTCGAATGAAGATGTGACACAATGTGCGTCCATTTGAGACATTGGACACATTAGTTCACTGACGTCTGAACAATGGCCGAGGAGCGCGGGATTAGACTGATAGATCAATATCCATTTAAAGTGGA